GGCGCAGGCCTTGGGCTTGCGACAGCGCAGTGTCGAGTCAATGCGGGGCGCGCTGCCTGGCCACGCGCGACACCAAGGGAGGCGGAAAAACAAAGTCGTATATGCGCCTCAGCTTTCAGTGCTGCGGCTGAGAGTTTAGCCCGCCTGCCCCTCGCCTTGCCGCAAATCTTGGGAAGCTTTGTGGCCGGAGCTTGCCAGGAACCAAACTGGTCGCAGAATTCCTTAATATTTTGGGGTGCGCCAATTTCAGCAAGCATACACATGCTGAGTTCAAGATTGACCCCCTGAGGGCATTGGCTTAGCCAGCTGTTCCCCACTGCCTCTCAAGCGGCCCTGGGCAACACGTGACCCCGGACGCAGGAGCTCCCCAGCGCAGCGCAGGAGTACGCAGACGCACTGAGGCTGAAGCGCCTCGGATCCGTTGAGTCCACATACGAGGCTTTCTGCTCCAAATGGAGATCCTGTTCAAAAACAAGTTTCCCGTATGGTGTTGCGACAGAAACTTGTTTTTTGGCTGCCGCCATTATGGGTACCCTTTCGGGATGTCCGCGTTGGCGCCGGACCCCAAAACAGGTACAAGCTGTTTCAGATGATGGCGCCACCCACTTCAGAGACGAACCCATGAGCCTTGCCGCCCTTAGGCCAGACTTGGGGGCAGAGGCCTGGAGCACCCTAGGGGTTTTGTTGGCGCAGCTGGGCAGGTGCGCCTGCTGACGCATGGGTTGTTGGAAGTGCGGGGGCGGGTGGGTCTTGTGCAGCCCAACCAATAGTACCCGAGTTGGACTGTGACTCAGGCAGCCTTAAAACGACGGTGGCGCAATGAGCTGTGCCACTGTGCTATTGGCGGAACCAAGCCTGGAATTCATTGAACGGCGTCGGAGACTTTCAAAACATGTTGAGCTTCAGCCTTCCCATCTTAAATTGTTACAATATGCTTCTCATGTTGGAGGATTTTGAACCGCATTGGAATACCCAGTTGTGAGTTGCCCAGTGACCGTGGCCATATTCACAAAGAGGGAGATGCCCTTTGGGCCAAGGTCTTCTGTTTGGATCCGGGTGATTTTCCGCTTTTGAGCAGTGATTTGCCTAGCCCCGTTGCAGGTACCGGGAGGCTGAGCAACACCTCGCCACGAGCTTGGGGCAAAACGTGAGCGCCCACGTGCTCTACTCCCAGTCGGTGGCTTGGCTGAAGGGATTTTGGTTGGCAAATCCTTGGCGGGATGACCCATTATCTGAAACCTCTCAACAACAAAGACCTCCCAAACTTCCAGGTGTGGTATGAACAAGTGCAGACCTGCCCCCAAGCTCCCTGGTATGCAAGCTATTGCAATGAAATTAATTCTTCTTGACACAGGGTTGCTTTGGTTTGTTCTGGTCCTGGAGGAGTTTCGGAACTTTTCGGGGCCCGGTTCGGCAGCGGATGTTTGATCAAATCCATAGCGAGGCGCGGATCACAAACAGCACCTTTGTGTGACTACCGTAAACTAATCAGTATTCTATGGGAAGTACGTATCTTTTCACGGTGAGGTATTTGCATCTTTGAAACCAGCCGTTTGCTGATGCAGCACACAACCCAAGCAATGAAGCATCCCGATAAATTGATCAAAGGATCCTTGTTCAGGGAGGATCCAAGCCTGATGCGGCAGCCAACGTGCATCCCTCGCACCAATATCAAGCAGTTATCGTTTGCAGAGCGGTTCGCGGCAAAACAAGAGAGACATTTGGACAGCTACCCCTCAGACCCATCTCAGCCCTTCTAAGGTTCAGGTTCCTAGAGACCAGCGAGCGCTGAGGTTGTCCTCTGGAAGCGAGGGAAGTTGGCAGACTCTCGGCTTCGGCCGGGCGGGTGTATCTTTGATGTCCCTTTGGGCAACTTCCGGCTGTCCTAGTGCTTTTCAGACAGCCGGGCGCAGCCAGACCCGGTTTGCGGACGTTTTCGGGGGATGGCCTGGAGAGTCCTGGATTGCTATTGGGCTGGATTTTCTTAGACTTTAGCTTTGTTGGGGATCAAGGGTTTTCGATTGGACCCACAAAAAGTTAAACTTTTTGCAAAGGGGTTAGCAGCAGCAACAGTGAACCAGGGGATTATTGTTCAGATATCTTGATAACACGTGCCCTTTGCTTCTTCATGCGGACGCGAATTCAGATACAGGGATATTTGCCGGAAGTTCGCCACAACCGCTAGTTGGGGGGGGTGGGGAATTTCCCTGTGAAATGCTCACGCCCTGAGCTCCTGGACTTAAGTCACTTTTTGCGACCACTCAGTGGACACCAACGAGTTCGGTTACTTTGTTCGGCCTAGCAGGAAGTTTGACTGTCCTGTGGCCGGTCCCCTGAACAAAGTCAGAAAACCTTGGCCCTTCCCCGCCCCGCCCTGAAAAGCGTTTGGCTCTCATGTGCGGTTGGGATTTATCTCTCATGCCACTGAGCAAGGGGTCGATGGACCGCAAAGAAACATCTGCAAGAACAAAGGCCTCGGAGGAGCACCTCAAGGCGGCTCTGGATCTGGATGCTCAGATCCTGCACACAGAGGCGGAAATGCGCTTCGATGTGGAGCATGACTTGGGTGTTTCTCAAGGTAGGAGTCTGACGCCAAAATGGGCAGCCTTCTATTTGGTTTCCCTTTAACTAGCAACCAAACGCAATCTCCGCCATGTTCAGAAACTGACTTGCGAAGCTTCCTGCCAAGTAGCGGAAGGACACCAAAAAAAGAAGGTTTAACATGAGATTCCAGTTATGAAGGAGGGTCTGTTAGATCCCGCGTTAATCTGCGGAGCAACCTGGGTGTGGGGGAGGGCAAATTGCACATTGCAAAGAGGTCGTTTTTCCCACAGTCCTGCGCTAGACCTTCGGGGTTACCTTTTTGGGGGACTGGGTTCGAGTCTCCATGGAACCTGTAGTATTTGGTGCGACCGAATCCCCTTTAAATGTCTTCCCCCTCAAACCTCCCAAAGGTCTATCGACATTTGAGCTACAATCAAAACCGGGTAGATGAAGGTTAGTAAGGGGCCCAGCCAGAAATAGTTGCGGCCGCCTTCTTAATTCTTTACATGGTGGGTAGACCATTTCAACACCGGGTTTAACATTGTGACTCACTTCCTCGGTGGAAGAACCCAGACCTCCAGACGGATGCGAGGAGGGCCCCGCCGTGGAGTTTGACGTGGCCGTCGAGTCCGTGGCGGAGCTGCAGGAGCTGCTGGTGGCGATCTGCCGCTGCCGCGGGGAGTTCCGACCCAAGGCTCGGCTCGCTGCGCGGCGCGAGCGGCGCTCGCTCGCGGGAGCACGGGCGCTCGATGGGGGTCGGGTGGCCGAATTGTTGGGCGCCGGTTGTTTTGAGGGTACCCAGTTTGGCGCCTTCTTGGGCTTGCTTTGAAGGGAAACAACAAGGGAACCCCATTCCTTCTTTTTTTGCGGGGTGTGAGGGGATAAGGGCCACTGGGGGGGAGGCTTTTGGAACACGGCTTTCCTTTTTGGCAAGCCGCTTGTCCACTTCCATTGTTGGAGAAAGGCTAGAACAGACATTTTTCTTTATCTGGGATTTTGCCCAGACTTGGGAACCTTGGCACGCTCAGAGGAAAAGATGAGGATCTTTGGAAAGAAAGTTAAAAGTTTAAAAAAGTGCTTGAAATCGCTGAAGGGGACCAGGCCTCCGCGTAAAACCCCCCAGCTCCCATCACGGGTGCGCGTACGGTCTTTGTGCGCGCCTGAGGCGCGGTGCGACGGGGCGACGGAGGGGCGCCTGCTGGCATTGGCGGCGGAGGTGGAGTGGGACCTGTGGCGCCAACTGCCCGACGCACTGCGTCAGGCAGGGCGAGGAGGTCAAGGATGGTGGGGGGTTAACCAACTGTGGAAACATAGTCTAAACAAGAAACATGGTTGAATATGAAACAACAGGTATTAGGATACTCCTTTTTGAGTTCCCTTTCAAAGAGATTGGCCAATTTCGCTCATCCTATCCCCAAGCTCTGAGTACTCTGCCAACTAGCTTGGAACCCAAAACGTGAGGAGTCTGCCCAAAAGGAGCCAGTGGCGGTTTGGTGGGTTCCATGTTAATCTGCACAGGGAGTTAATGTAAAGTTATGCCTTTGTGGACACAAGGGAAACAAAGCATAGAGGGGACAACCCCAAACTTGTGTTATTTCTCTGTTTATGGGCCCCAAAAACAGGGTGGGGGTCCAACAAAGCCACCTGAGTACTCACCTGGCTGGAGGCTGTTCCTTGGATGTGTGACATCGGTGCTGTCAGCTTTGGGTGATTTACAGCTGCAGATACCGTAGGTAGCTGATGAACGAGTAGCATTCATTGGGTTGTGTCGCAGCTAACCATTCAAAATGGTTGGTGTCTTGTTGATTCCCTTCTGAAACCATCATCCCATCAGGATTTCTATAGCCGCACACCGCCAAATCTAATATCGGCGGGTGCCCCGGTTGCCCACCACGTTGGTTCAGCCTTAAAGAGCCGTTCCTTAATACAAGGAGACTAGGCAATGGCGAGGCATTGCAAGGTTTGCTGGAAAATGATCAGTTGCAACTGCCGGCCGGACGCATCCGGGTGGATGGTTGCACAAGGACGCGGCGGTGTTTGCTGGCTTTGCTCGCCCGCCAATCTCAGGGTCAAGGAGAGCGCTTCTTATCACAGGATTTGCACCTCTTCTCCCTTGAACTGCCATCCAGATGCAGAGGTATTTTTGGAACTCCGCCAGAGGTGAGTTTCCCTCTGGGTGGTTGGCCTGGTGGTTTGGCGGTTTCCGATTTACCGTCTACAAGAACCAGGGGTCAAATCCAATCCAACCAAACAAGGAGTAGCTGAAGCGGGCGAAACCTGAGACCACAGGTTCTGTTCGGGCAAAAGCTCGTTGCAGTTGAACGTCAGGAAGCCCTGCAGCAGGAAGCGGCTCGGTGTGCACTCAGATGACAAACACAGCCAGCCCCTGTACAACGGGTACAAACCCCGTTTTTTTTGGGGGTGGTTTGGGGTTTGTGGGAATCATCTTGGATTCTTAGATTGTTGTTTGGCCATGGTCACAGTGGGGGTGTTTGCCTTGTGCACCCCAAACCACATTGCAGCGCATGATTGTCCTAAGAAGACCATGTCAGCGGTGTTTGATTCACCCTAATTTGTTGAAGGGACAACCCAAGGTTTACCAGCTGTTGCCCTCAGTGTCGCAGTTGGTGTCTTTCTGAATTATCAAGTCTGCAGTTGGACTTTTGGAGTCAAAGGGTCCACAGTCATCGCGCAAAGCCACAGGGGCGGGGGTCAGCCTCGGCTGATGGTCAGGTTTTTCCAGAACAGGGCTTGGACTAGCCCCAACCCCTTGCACGGCATTCCTCTTTTCACAGACCCATCCTCTGACCTCTACATGGGTGTGTGGTGTTGAGTTGGTCCCCTTGTCTAGGCTGGTGTACAGGGAAACCGAAGGAATTCCATAATTTGCTGTTCGATTTCCTATTTTGTCGCTCATATCGTAGGCCTGCACAGCTGACGACCGGCCCCAAGGCTGTGCCCCATACGGAGATCGTCGATGGCACTGTGCCGCGCGGCTCCCTGCTGAAGCTGAGGATCCTAGAAAACAAGCGCTTCCTGTGGGAGGCACCGTCCGTGCAACTGTCACGACATGCGAACGCGCCATCAGAGCTCGTTTTGGATGAGAGGTTTGAGGTTTGCCATGTGGCGTCAAATATGGAAGAACATGTAGGAATTGAACGCGGTTACGCGAGCGGCTTGCACTCACCTCATGCTATCTATGCCGTTGCCTTTGGGTCTTACCGAATTTTCCCGTGTCGAATTCCCCTGCAGGTGTGAGAAGCGAAGTCTCATGTCGGTTGCTTTCTTCATAGTGGCGGGTGCGTATCGAGTGTTGCGCGAAAGGTTCGGAGTTTGAAGTAAATGTGCGTTATTTGCGGTACTGTGCAAACAAGCAATTCCGTGAGTCTTGCGATTTTCTGATTGGAGGCTGCCTTCCAAATTCAAAACCATTGACTAGGAACCTTTGGCTGTGAGGCAGGCATTTCGGGCTTCTTATAAAAGGTGACCTGGTGACTCTTGCGCTTGCGATCCCTAAATTTCGCAGCTCCCCAGCCCGAGGTTCTTCCGTTGCTGGATGTATTCACGCCTTTTGGAATCACCGACTGGCACAAAGGTCTCCAAAGTCTGAAATGGACCCACTGAAAGGGCAGAGAGTGAGCGATGCTTTGCGTCCTACATGCCGCCTGTTGGCAGATTGCCTAGGGACGGAGACATGCCAATTGTGATTGACAGGTCGTTTCGAAGTGGAGAGGCCGCTCGGCAAAAGCAGACAGGGTGTACGTGCCAACAGCATGCGCGATCAGACATGTGTTTGTCTTGTCAGGGCCATGTAGCCGTGTGTCAATGCAAGGTACATTTGAAGACTGCGCTGTCAATGGGTGGCTTGGTCTTATTCATGTCATGCAGCAAACAGCTGGGACATCCTTTAGCCTCACATCCCCACTTCTCTGAACATTGAGCGCCCAACGCCCATATCAGCAGGTGGTCTTGTGGTATTTAGTAAGGCCGATGTAAACCGACGATCAATGTCGCCAGTCTAAAGTAGACAGGTTTCATATTATGTTTGCATCACTTCACTGCTTTGTGCTAACATTGCATATCGGTCATTAAGCAGCTCCACACATGGCAGGTCCACGATGGCAAAACATGCAGTAACTTGCTGGTTCTCAGCAGGGAATCCAGGGAAGTACCTGTAAACCATGCCCGATGTGGTTTCCTCAAAGGGAATCCCCTTCCGGTTCATTCCCGACACACGGAAGGGTCGTTTGCTACTGAACCCCAACCAGGTCAGGGCCCAGAACACTAGAGACGGGTTGGGACTTACCAAATCTGTGTCACGGTCATAGGCGAATGTGATGACCTAGCTGAAAGTTTGCGGGGTTCCGGCATCTACTGAGAAGTGCAGATTGGTAGAATAGCCCAACCCCCTTTCTGGGGCGTTCTGAAACGTTCTGAAATCAAGGTTTTCTCTATGCCCCGTTTTGGAACCTCTCAAAATTGGCGACCACTTCATGGAACGCACCAGTCAGTTGATCACCTTGAAGGGGAATTCCAGGAATTTCTGTGGGGTTAACTTGCTGGTGCCATAGGGAATGACCGTTTCGGGTGGTGGGAACTGGAAGGGGGGGATTCCCTTGAAGGAAGCCAAATCGGGGACGGTTTATCTATCTTGGGGTCATTCCATTTGTCCAGCCAGCAAGTTCATTTGAGCCGATGCTATCTCTAGCCACAATCAAAACCCGGGTAGATGAAGGTTTGTAAGGGACGGTCCCAGCCAGAAATGGCTGCGGCCGCCTTCTTATTTCTTTACATGGTTCTGGGTCCACCATGTTTATGCCGGGTTTGATTTTGACTTATTGGATGCTGAAAATTCGGCAGCGCGCCGCGAGCAAAACCAGCCTCCGAGGCGGGAGGTGTTGGTGCCCAGCTGGCTGGTCGATTCGGGCGCCAGCGAGGCGCTCTGCGAGGACGTGCGCAGGAGAGCGCCCGGCCGGGGGCGCCCGGATGGGGCGGGGTGCAGTGGGATGTGTTTTCAGTGCCTGGTTTTTTGGGGGAAGCCCCCTGGTTTTTGTTTGGAGAGCAAAGGAAACAAGCATTTGTGGAGTGGAGGGGGGGGGCTTTTTTGGTATCAAGATCAGTGGAAGGGTGTGGATTGCGGCTGGCTGGGAGAGACAATTCATGACAATGCCCAATTCTCCCACCCCCCCCCCCGGTTGGACTGCGCCTTTGCACGAAGGCACCTGCAAGGTGCACCCAGTGTGGGGGTTGATCAAAAGGTCCTTGACATGGGATGACCATTAGGGAAACCACCAAAATGACTTTCACCATACCCAGACCCCGCTCACCCAGACCCCGCTCACCGGTCGCTGGGGGCCTGTCGGCCAAAGGCGAGCGCGAGTTTGTGGTGAAACCCATCAACCTCGCCTTCGCTCAGGGCACCTCCCTCTGGAACCTCTCGCACCTGGACCCGTTGCCGCCCCTCGCGTAGAGACGTTTCGGGCGTGAAACCGGAAGAACCGTGAGTCCGAAAAGTCCGCGCTTTCTTTTTTTTGGTATTTCAATGGAGAATCAAAAGGAAACCGTCGTCATTTTAAGGAGCACGGATAATTACAAAGAGCGCATTTGGGCCTGTTGGGGTGTTTGCCCTGACAGTGCTTCTGAGGCAAGAGGAGTGCCTCAGATCCTTCCAGAGCGTTCTGGCCGCGATGCAGCAAGGCCCGGCCCGAAACAGACCGTGAAACCGCACTCGTGGAACCGGAAGCTGAAGTTGGGTCCATTCAGTTTCGTTTAATCACAGGGATTCTTGAACACATGTGGTTGCCAATTTTTCCAGCTCGTAGCAGACTTACCCAAACGGAGCAGGTGATGCTGGGATGTGCCTGTAAGTATCCCCGAGCCATTTCGTTGTGGCTCAGCTGAGCATGTGACGCACAAAACCTCGTGTTTGGTCAGCAGACATATAGAGGGGTTGACCAAGGTCCTGTACATGGGATGACCATTGAGGGAAACCACTGAAAGGATGATGTTTCCCGCGAATGGGGAAAGTTACCCATGGTCACTTGGTGGCTGAACAGACAATTGTGGACCCAGGATTAAGAAACCCGTCCCATTATTAGGGGGGTGTTCCCTCCAAAAGTGATGAATCCCCACTAAAAGGGGACACTCCCCTATAAATCAACCAGGGGTTTATTAATCCGGGGTTAACATCATTGATCAACCCCAATAATGGCGTGCGATGCATCTGAGGCATTTCGAAGCCCGTGGATTCTTGGCAGCGACATCAGAGCAGCCCAGTGGCGGCAGGTTCATGTGAAGCGTAGATGCCGTGGTCCGTGAGCTTACGCACGCCTGGGCGTGTCTTTTTCGGGGTTCTCTTTTTTGGGGTGTTGGTAAAGTCAAGCCAAAGACCACAAGGAAACCACACATTTGGCAGGTTCCCTTTGGAGACAAGCCCATACCAATCTAGGGGCCACTGGGCGTGTGACGTGTCCAAGCCATGAGCGCTTCTTTGCATGATTGGCCCGCGTGAGGATGAAGTCTTGGTGCAAGAGCTGCCTGCCTTGATGGGGGGGGCTGACGTTCTCATCGGCTGGGGACAGTTATACGTCTCCGGTACAGAGGTCATTTTGGTTGAATGCAGCTTCAGCTTGGTTAATTTGGTTCTAGTCATTTGCCAGTGCCATCAGTTCTCCCAGAAAATGAACATACCATCAGTGCACTTGGGACGGGCCCGGGATTCCGAGACGTTGGTTTTGTTTGCGATGGCCCCACTGTGAACTGGGTATTTACTTGTGTGGGGCAGAGGGGGATGGCTGCTACAACTGCAACAGTACTCTTTTCGCAAGCGGCGCAACACACAGCTATGGACGCTTGCTGCTAGAGGAATCAGGTTCCTGCTTTTGGGGTCACTTCGTGTATGATTTGTCGCGGTTGGTTCCTTTTACTTGCAGGTTCTGGGAATGAGGGAATGACTCCTATAAACCCATCCGTCCCATGGTTTGCCTTCAGGGAATCCCCCAAACCGGTTCATTCAACCACCACCCGCACTCGGAAAGTCATTCATTCCCTATGGCACTCGCAAGTTGAAATGCACCCGGAAGCTGCATTGAGGTTCCTTCCCAACACCCGGACAAGGATTGAATTCCTGGCACCGATCGCAGGTTGAGAGCTGAGTCGGGAAGCTGCTTTGGGCTGAGGTTCGTTCACAGCCTTCGGCTGAAAGGCCGGAAGTTGGAGCTTCGGGCCCACGTGCTGGTGGCCTCCAGCCGGCCCTTTCTCGCGCTCTGGCCACACAAAAAGCGCGCGGAGGGCGGAAGAAGCGTCATGTCTTGACCCCGGATGAATAGAATAATAGACCTGTCCTATTGTGTAGGGGAAAGTCCAACAGTGAAGGATTCCCACTAAAACGTGACACCCAGGCCTTTTTACCTAAATTCGTCCACCAGGGGTGCGTTCATCCGGGGTTGCATTTCCAGCCAGGGGTTTGGAGAGCCCAGACTTGTAAAAACGCGGCTTCTTCTTTGGCACCGGGGTCCAAGGGGTCATATGCCGACCAGGCGTGTCAAGAGGTTTGGAGCCCCTTTGTCTCCGGGCCGCGTGCCATCGTAGCGTTCGATTGCAATCGAGAAGGGCCTGTTCCTCTTCTAAGGGGGGATCAACTGTACGGCCGGAGCAACAGGCAGAGTTCGGAATTGGCATGGCTCAACAGTTTGCTGGTCTTGGGGGGGGGGTTCTCAAGATGGTGGGCCCGTTTTTGGGCTGGTAGTTAAAGAGGAACCACGAGGAAACCAACCAGCTTAGGGACCATGAGGAGCACCCATTTCAGCCTCAGCCTTGCAGGTATTCTGGGATCCGAATCTGATCTTCAAATGGGCTACTGCGCCAGATGGGTGGATTCTCAGTGGGCCCGCTTCAGCGAGGGAAGACACTTGGCACTTACAGCCGGAGTCACGCGGGGCCCCCAATTTTGCCACAGAAAGGGGTGCCTTGAGAGCCCCACCCATGTCCTTTTGGGATCCAGCAAATGTTGTTCCTCGCTCACGTGGAGCGGCACGTGAGGAAGCACCCTACGAAGAGATGGCAAACCATTTCGGCGGTGCTGCTGAACGAGTGCGAGACCAGATCCACCAGCAGGTGGGGCGAAAGAACTGGGCGCTCTAAGTGGCGCGGATGCTGGCTGGGACTGTTTCAGAAATTATTTGTCTTCTTGACGGTTTGTTCAAGGCCAAAAGGGGACTACCCAATTGACACAGTGCATCTGAGAGGTGAGGTTCTGGAAGCGCGCCCGGAAGGAAACCAAGCAGTTGGAAGAGCCCCTGATTTTTGCATGTCCCCGTGTTATGTTTGCAAACGTCATGCAGTGGAAAGCATCCGCCACCCCTGCGGAACCCGCGCAGTTCCGTTTTTGTTCGCTCAGGTGCGGAAAGGCGCGTCCGAAGGGGGCGTTGCAGTGGTGCGTACGGTTTCCTCGGGACGTGATTTGTGCCAACCCTGACGGGGGTGTCGATTGTTTTGGAGCCTCATGAGGTGCATGCTTTTGGTTTCCCTTTTCACTCCCCCCCCCAAAAAAAAAGGCACACACACACACACAAAAAGAGGAGAAGGTTTTCCAAGCCCAAAAAAACACGCCCACCACGTCTCACATCACGTCTTGCGTGTTTTTTTTTGGTACTGCGCCGCAGGCCTGGCAGTGGTTCTGGAGGCGCTTCTGGCAGCTACGGCCGGAGATGTGACGTGGCCACCTGGCTCTCAGCGGGATCGGGAGCGGGCCGGTGGGCTTGGCACGGTTGTTATTGGGAAACGTTCTACATTTTTGCTTCCTAAACGGTGTCCACCGAACGCGCAGCGTCTGTGGCTCGACTGCAAGCAGCAGAGCTGGCCAAGTGGCGATATAGGAATGGACAGGTTCTGGCGTCGTTGGACCAATGAATGTCATGGGCCGAAGGTGCAGGGAATCCCTGAGGCAAGGGCAAGGCGATGCATAGGACCAGGAGTGAGTCATGGAGCCGAGAGTCAGTGGGGCCGAAGGCTAGTTTCAGAAACGTCAGACAAGTCTGGCCAGCAGGTGGTTGGGATGCTGCTGGTTGGGGTGGGCCTGCGCCTGCCTGCGCTGGGATCTGCTGGTTGGGGTGGGCGGGCGGGCTTGCGCAAAACACCACGGCCAGGCCAAGCTGGCTTCAGGCTGGACTGGGCCTTGCTGGGTAGGGGTGCTGGTTGGGCTGGGCGTGAGGTTAGCTGGTTGGGTGCCTGAAGCTAGTCTCAGCCACATCAGCTTGGAGGCTAGTCAGCCTGAGTCTTGGGCCAAAAGCTTGTTTTGGCGCGTCATTCTCATCGCATTTGTGGCAACAATGGGCCCATACGAACCACGAAAATTCTACAGCCCGCCGGACAGGATCTTGGGCCAGCAGACAGAAATTTTGAGCGGGGAGGGGTTGGGGAAGGGGCGAGCAAAGTTTCTAATTGAAAAAAAGATGTGAGCGCCCTTGGCCCCCTTGGCGCCGAGGCTTAAGACTCTTGCCCGTACCCCCCTTCAAGGCCATGAGCTCGCGGACTGGTATTTTGAGTTGCAACCACCCTCCAGTCGCGTTGGGAGGCAGCTGAAGGAAGCTTGCAAAAAGTCAAGGCGAGAGAGAGAGAGAGAGAGAGAGAGAAAGAGAGACCAATTTGTGGGATCTCTGCGATGCTGCTCATCATCATTCCATCAGTTTCAATTGCGTTAGACGTTTCCAAAGAGCCCTCGGCAAAGCTCGGATAGGCATGAATCGTTATGTCAGCTGGCCATCATGTGCGGTGAATTGCAGGGACGAGCAGTGTCTTCACTTCATCACTTCACACTTCACTTCACTTCACTTCACTTCACTCTACTTCAGGGCCATACATTTGGTTTGCTGACCGTGACTTAGCCTCACACGAAGTTGTTGGTGCAATTGAATTGGAGCCGTCACATGCTATACCAGCCCCGGCGATTTTGCCAGCAGCCGAAGGGAAGTCCACGGGTGCTTCGCTCGCTTCTTCGCTGGCCAAGGCCGGCGGACGCGCCAGATTCTTGGGAGATCATGGGCACCTTGGCTCAAGTGACGGCTTGGCGTTTTAGCATGAATCAGCAGGTGAATGTGGGTGGTGTCAGCGCCGCATTCTTGCCGTCCAGCTTCATTTGGGGGCTGTCAAAATAGGGGACGCCTTTTCTGGATAGTGTTGAGGGGCAACCAAAAAATAAACTTGAAGGCAGCCGTTTTCAAGGGCTTTGTTGGAGAGACGCGCATGTCAAGAGGCTTTGTCCCAGATTGCACGGGGTGAGCCAGGGGTGGACTTTACCATTGCGGAGCTGAATGGCGAGATCTCTATCAAGGTGTTGGACTGGAATTACGGGCCAGGACGGGCCATGAGCCATCGAAACCTGAAAAATTGAAGGTGTTTTTGGACGCCCGAAGAAGGGTGTGGCCTCGTGGTTGTGGGTATAAACCCTTCTACCAGGTTTGGAATACGACTGAAGTTGCGGGGGAATTCGTGCTTCTGCGGTCGGCTGGCTTACGTTTAGCCACTTAGACAGGTGAAGGAGGCCCCTTTTTTTTCCTGAATGGTCATGGTTGCCTGGGAGCCAGACTCGGTCCTTGGGTCCTCAAAAGACCTTTCATCTAAAGCTTTCAATTCGCGAATTGACTAGATATTCGGCTATCCTGGCTGGAGGAATGTCCAGAATCCCTGTTGACGGGTTGCCGGTCATCCCTGACCTCCAATTTGCAAATTTCTCGTTGAAAGGGAATGACTTCAAAGGGATATGCTGCTTGCTAGCAGAGCATCAGATTGCGATACTTCCAATTCCCCACATTGCACATATTGAACCGCAATTCCACGGTCCAGATTCCGGCCTCGCAATCAAGTTTATCATGATGGGGCAATGACCAGCCACAGTGTTTCAACAACACCTTCTTCACAAGGTGTTCGTCCGGAGCAATGCTTGGATGCCTTTCCCAGCTTTGAACACCTCAGCCGTCTTCGCTGCAGGACTGGGTGTTGGACTACAAATTCAGAGTGGCCAGGAGAGGCAGCGGGAAGTGCTACGCGCCATTGAGAGGTCGCCAGTGCTCATCCGTTGCCTCAAAACGCGCACCTGTGATCACCATGTTGGCCCGACGCAAGTCTTCCCTACCGCGAAACGAGGACTTGTGTGACCACAGGTACTGGCGCTTTTGTGCTGAGCCCGGGAGTGGTCCCCCATGTGGGCGATGCGGCCATGCTTGTTCAGAGCTTGACGCCTTGTCATCCTTCTGTGCGAGACTTCATGGCTTGAGATATGCAGGTTGCCTGATACAGATGCCTCTTTTCATTGTACGAAGCGGGGTATATGTTCAGTCTATGAATATATGTGTCAATATCTCTCTCTCTCTCTCTCTGTCTCTCTCTCTCTCTGCTTCTCTCTGCTTCTCTCGCTCTCTCTCTCTCTCTCTATGCACACATATAATACATAACATACGCATAAGATATCAACAAACTCATGACACCCAAACCCTCTTGAACGCCGCTGGCATGGTTAACGGAATGTCAGCTCAGTTTTCGATTTGACTTTCCAACAGTTTGCCACTGTTATTCACAGTCTCGACAAGTTTCCACCATGTTTCGGTTCTTCCAATCCATTTGCCACCCTGCTTCAATCCTGCCAATCGCTTTTCCACCATGTTCAACTTCTACGAAACAGTGCACCATGTTTCAGTTTCGCAACTCAAATCAAACCCATCTCACACAGTGCTTTATTTTTTTTGTTTGCCATCGCTTTCCGAGTGTGGCAATTGGAGTTATATCATGAACATGTCCAGCCGCTTCAAACCTTCCATGAATCTCCCCTATGCTTCATTTGCCCAGCCAATCTCTGACGATGCGGCTGTAATTCTCACCACACTTGTTCCCCTTCTTCAATTTCCGAGAGCCCGCAACCTGGGTGCTAAATTGCCAAGAATGCTCAGTTCTCCCAAAGGAAACCCAAAAGGGCTGGATAAGTTCCAATTCTTGCAGACCCCTCAATTTGGCACCCAGACAACCCATGAGGTTGTGACTTATGTTCTTGCTCTCTGATTGACCAACCAGTTAGACTAGATCATATGCATCTTTAGATTATTGACTGACCAGTCAGACAATTCGCCTGAAGATTTGCCACCGTTGCAGGAGAAGCCTATGGCTTTCCTGCAGGAGGCCTACCGCTTGCTGGGCATGCGGAAAACGCGGGGACCTCAGATTGGGTCAGGCGGGGAGGTTAGGGGGCGGATACTTAGGGTCTGAAGTCGAAGGATGTATGAACGGACATGGGGCATTTGTGTTTCTCTTTCTTGCTTTTTCCTTTGCTTTACTTTTTTTTTTTGGGGGGGGGGGCGCCGTGTTTTTTGTTTTGCTGTTTTGAACAAAAAAACACGGGGGCGCCCTGTCGCACTGCCCGGGTGTGCCAGAGTTTGAGGCTCCTTCAGGGCGGCGTGAAGTCGCGGCTGGAGACACTTTTCGATGGCTCCGCCTGGGAAAGCCGCCCGCCGTGGCCCGGGCGCCCGGCGCGTTTGCTTTGCGTTGCGGAAAATGGGGGCCCCAAAGCCCAAAGCGCGGCTTTTTCGCCGCTCGGGGTTTGGATGTAGCACCGCTGATTGCGAGATGCTTGCGACTTGAGCTTGTGGGGTTAACTGGTCCTTGCAGGTGCTGGGCGCGGCCATTTCAATTGCTATGTTGGCTGTCCACTCTTGAGATGGCTGACATGTGCACTTGCCGATGCTTGGATTGCATCCTGCAATCCCTTTTCCTTTGTCCAGAGCCTCAGGTGCATTTGAAAGAGGCGTCGCTCTACGGAGGACATCTCCAACTTGGGGTCGTGCCAGCGAGCAAAATGTGCGCATATGAATTTGCATTGTAGGACATCTTCGGCATCTAGTCACCAAAAGGGCCGGGCTAAGATGTGAAATAGGACCCAAAACCTGTGAAAAAGACAGTCTGGCTCAATGATTCAAAGGGATCCTGTTTTTTTTGCCCCACAAGCGGCCCACGGCAGGATGCAGCGGGAACACAGACAAGACATCATAAAAGACATCATGTCATCCTGGGGTTGCACGATGTTGGCAAAGTCTTTGTTCACCAAAAATAATAGATTCCTAGTTAGTTCTGAATCTATCAGGTTCTAGTGTGAAAGTTGTTGATGTTGCCATCATTCAAACCCTTGCTTGCTGCCTTACCTGCAACTAAATGCCCTTGTTCCTGCAACAACTTTGAATGGAATACAAGTTTGCCTTCTGTAACCAATTCGCCCCTTGGGGTTCCACCGAAGGAAACAAGTCCCATGCTTGGACTGTGTTTGATTGATCATCGCTTTACCCGCCGTTGCCTTAGAGGCCCCCGCAGTTAGACGAGATGCTTCCTGTAAGGAAGCATGCGTGGGGGTAATTCGCTCGGTTCAAGCTTTGCCCGTCTCGAATTCGTGCAACACATACATACATACACCCACACCCTGTGAGTCATACTCGCCAGCTCAGGCGAGCACCGCGCATCGCACAAGGCTATATGTGGGCTGCATGCCCGAAGCTCCTGTAGCAGTGAAAAAGAAACAGCAAGCATCACTCCAAGGCAAATCTACAAATCTGCAAGCGGCCGTTCAGCGCAGCTTGTTGGACACACCGCCCCTGCCGCCCTTCCGGAAGCAGACCAACCGCGGGGCCGGGGGCCCGGGGGGGGCCATGGAGGAGCTCTACAAGGTGGGCCAGAAGGTGGCGCAGGACCGCCGGGCATGAGCCTCGAATTCACTCTTAGAGCTTTTTTTCCCCCGACCTTTCAGCTTTCCAATTTCGGGTGCTTTCTCTTTGATTTTTGGCCGGCCGGTGGCCCAAAACGGCGGACGTCTTTGGCAAGCTCTGGCACAGTTAAGAAGAGTTGCCTCTAGCCTCGGAGTATGAAGCAATCTGTCAAAATCGACTTTGGTCACTCGCCTCCGGAGCTTGGCTGCGATCTCAAAATGGGTTCAGGGGAGGATTGAGATATTGCACTTGGGGGGTTGTGTGCACATCCCAGAAATGCCTGCATACACTGCTACCTGTCGATTGAAAGGCTTACTTATATGTTGTGCTGAGTCAATCATTTGCTGTGTGCTTTGCGCTTCCTGCTTTGCTATCCAACATCATCCAACGTTAGTGCCTGTTCTTGCTGTCCCGGTTGCTCTCCTTTTCTCCGGTTGCTCGAGCGCTTTCTTTCCTTTCCCGTCCAAGTTCCGTTCCTTGTTTCCTTGCTTTGTCGTCAACCTCATGGCTCGTTCAGTTAACAGCGCCTCACGTGGGATGCACGCCAATCATATCAAAGAAGTCAAGCTCAGGCTTCCGGCCACATTGTTTGAGGATACCCGAGGTGTTTTTTAATTGCTAGGAAATCAAAAGTGTTGAGCCCCGGTTTGGGTTTGGCCCCCCTTACAGCACCAAGCTCTTGTGCAACTCCTCTGATTGGGAAGGTGCATTTCTACTGACCTTCCCCACGAACCTTTCAAAGTAAAGTAGTCTTCCATGACCCCTCAGTCAGGTTCCAGGGGCGTTTTGAGGTGCATTTTTGTTGGCCTATTCTTTGGGCCCCCGTTGCGCCATTGCGCCAGGAGGGCATCGATCCCTCGCTGGGGTCCATGGGCGGTGCCGGAGCCTTCGACCCGGAGAAGCTGGCGCAGCTCTTGGGCGGCCAGGGACTGAAGTGGCCATGGGGCATAACCTATGGCGATCCCATTTTGGGGTGGATGAACATCTTGCCACCTATGTTGATGTTCACCAGGGGTACAGCGTTTTGACCCACAGCCAAGTTGCACGACCCCCCAGCGGAGCCCAGATTTGCTCTTTAAAATCCAGCAATCAAGAGCGCCCCGTTTTTTCCCGCTGCGGGTTTGGGAATAGGCAGGGGTCCCTATATTTCCCTTTTTGGTGGTTTCGAACATCACCATTTTTGGCCCATGAAAGGTGAGTGTCCCTTGGTGGGTGTGTTTTTTTTCAGGGGAAATGTAGGGAGCCCTGATAGGCCCGCCTTTTTGCTTGGCTAGGGGGAACCAGTTGCCAGTTTTTTAGTTGAGACGTTCCCGAATGTCGAGAGCTGTGGACACTAAGTTGTCCTCTCCGGAGAAGGAGTTTTCGTCATTTGGTTGTAACATATTAGGGACTTTGATCTGATTGAATCCGCGTCCTGTTGGATCAGCGTTTGATTACTATTCGTGTTGCTCTAGGCTAAGCCTTTCGATATTGCTTGGATCAAGACGGCTGGTCAGAGGGTTCCATGTTTTTGACTTCCCCCAGGTGGGCTTATAAACCAGGGGTTTCCCTTTTTAAAGAATCAACCACCCCTGGGTTTAAGTCTACATTGGAGTAATTAAAACATGGAACCCTGGCTGGTCATGCTTTATTCAGGAATGTAAGCTGATTCCATCTACTTGGAGCAATTCCATTCCTTACACGAGCTTCACCATGGCACAGAAGAATACACAGATCCATCCTGTCGACTGAACAGTCGATGCCATCCTAAGGGAATGCCAACATGGAGGAGTACCTCCAGAGCTATGAGAAGATGCTGCAAGAAGGCTCACCCATGCAAGGTTGTCCACAATGATGAAGGAAACACAGGCTACAGAGATGAACCTCCATACAAAGGGGTTCGCGAGGGTTGCGGCAGTGTTTCAGGTTTGCATAGTGGCAGTGTCCCTTACCAGTTGAAGTTGTTGCAGCAACTAGCTACAACAACAATCTGTGGCCAAACAGAACATCGGCGCCATTCTGATCAATTTGCCTGTTTCCTCAACGAGTTCTACACACATTCTAATGAGCTCACGTGGGGCAAAACGGGCCTACCCACCACAAGGTCTTTGCTGCGGGGGAGGTTGCCTTATTTCCGATTTGAGAACAAGAGTCCATCTTGTTTGGCCCACATGGGTCATGAGTTTCTTGTGCCTGTGGCAACTTGGTCAGGCATTGCTCCGGAGCTTGGCGCTCCGCTTGATGAGGCACGGCTCGCCAGGGATTTGATGGATTCTCAGGTGGGCTTTGTAGGTCAGTTTTGGCCGAACATAGACGGATTTTACTGGTTTGGTTTGGTTCGAATCAGTACCATCACATTCTTCGAAAGGACAACTAAGGGCACAGGCAAGGAGAGTATATGCCATAGGGTGCTTGGGTGCTTTGGATCCTTTCAAGGCTTTGATCGGAAAACAAATGTTGTTGTCCTTGAGAGGTTGGGAGCTCCAACTTGTTTTAAATAGCCAGCGGATTCCAGTTACCCCTAGAGTAGGGAACCCTTCGCCATTTTCCTTTTGGCTTTTGAAGGGCGGCAAGCCCTTGGTTGCCTACGCAGGGAAATAGAATCCCTGAGGCCAAGTGACCTTCAGGCTGTTGGCGTGTCGCATCCGTCGGGGGTCGGAGGTGGATGCTGAGGGTGGCATCACCACGCGGCCGGAGCCCGGCTTTGCCCCTTGGCTCCAGCCAAGCGATGAAGTCGTGGGATGCTGGTAGTGGTTGCTGTGTTGTGGTATAGTATTGACATGTGACTGGAAACCGAACACTGCCTATTTACCTTGTTGTGTGGGGTGGTTGTTAGTGCCATGTAGAAGTACCGCTTCACCAAGCCCGCTGTGTACCTGTTGGTAGTTGGTTTATCTCGTTTTTGTTTTTGTTTTTGTTTTTTTTCTTCTTCTTTTTTTGATAGGGTTTCATCCATGCCCATTAGTGGATTTTGTGCATCCACGGTAGCTTGCCTCCTCGTCCCTGGAATCCCTCCCCCTCCAACTGGATGGTGAGGCTGATGGAAAAAGGTGACACAGAAACACAGTTTGGAGATCACAAATGGCTTGCAACCTCAGTGATGATGGCACATTGCTGTCTCGAAATAAGCCAGATTTAGGGTTGGTGAACCATTTTTATGGATTGCTTGAGGCTTTTGGAGCAAGTCTTGCTTGCCTCAGCAAGTTTGAAACAACATGCCAGCTGGCTCTAGGAGCTGTACTCTGAGCAAGATATGCCTCAAGTAGTGTGGCATGCCGGACTTTTGCTCATGTCGATCAAAGCAGCATGTCCCTTGCCGCAGCAACTTTGTGACTGTTGCCCTTGTGGTTGAAACTGCTTGCACCGATTCGCACCTTTGTGCTGTGCAGTTCCTGTTGCTCCTGCGGCTCCTAAGGGCCCGAAGCAGACACCCGCGCTCGTCCTTTCTCTCCAAGCAGTTTCTCACCTCTCGCCTCATGCATGCGGCCTGCTGCTTGCTTGCTGCTTGCACTGCTTGCGGCTTGCTTGCACTGCTTGCGGCTGGCGGCTTGCAAGCTGGCGAGGTGGTAAAGACCAAAGACCTGGAAGCGGGCACCAAGATTTTCGTGAACATTGTGACCAGCCCACACATCGAGGCGAGCGAGCGAGTCGATTGGTTTCTTCTTACCGCTTCCGGCGGTGAGTGTTTGCATAGAACCACAGACCAGGATGGGGTATGGGTAGATGCCTTAGTCTGGCTGCAAAACTTGAGCGTGGAGAAGAGAGGCGTTCTTTGACTGGCATATCAGGCAGGTATGGGGTGCCATGACGTAGATTTCGTTCCATAGTAATTAAGGCAGACAGAAACCCATGCAATTGATTTCTATGGGGCCCTGCATGTTTCGTCTTGAAGCCAACCTAGCAAGGAAATGGGCCTCCATGCCCTGAGAAGACAGCCCGCACAAAGGGTGGGTTGCTTAGGGTACAGGGTATTTTCATGAACCCCATGAGTAGAAGAGGTCTTGAGTTGTTTGTTGTTGATTTGCCCGGACACGTCTCTAACTGGAGCCCGACTTTCGATCAGCTTGGCTATCGGTTAATGAAGAGAGAGAGAGAGAGAGAGAGAGAGAGAGAGAGAGAGACTGAAGGGATGGTGTGTCTTTGGACATGGGGTTACCAAGAGCTACCAAATCATGGCCAGTTTCGGAAAAAACGGGTTTCGGTGTCAGAGGGCCCCCTTTTTCCCCAAAATAGGGGGTCCTTCCTCAAAATGGCACCAACCCTCCCCCCCCCCTCCCCGAAAGGTCATTCTAATACTTAGGCCCTTACAGTATCCTCCAACAAGTCACAGAGTCCAGCATTTCCCTTTTTGGAACCTCAGACAGTGGCAGTTTTTGGAAACCACCAGCAAAAAGCGATCAACTTCCGGGAAATCCCGTGTTTTCCCTGGAGATTCACCAGCTTTGTGGTTTTGGGCCCGATTGGGACGCAGAGGCGCCCCACATGAAGAGCTACACGGAGCTCGAGGGCGAGCAGGGCTGCAGGGTGCCGCTCTCCATCGGCACGGCGGTGGAGGCCGGGACGGGGACGCTCTGGACACCCCAAAAGCCACCAAACTAGCTCCCTGAGTTCATGGACTTTGAGCTTTTTGGGAAGACCATTTTCGTGGCAAACGAAAAGTTTGGACTTTTTTTGGCCAACCCACTCAGGAAGTGAGGAATAGGAACACTATTGTGGATGGTTGTGTAAATCATTTTGCACTACCGATCAGAAACCCTGGTTTCTGATTCTTCTCCAACATACAGGCCGACACACAAGCGTTTCAATCATGGTTCCAAATGTTTCAAAGTGGTGCGAACACATTTCGTCCCTCCACAGTATAAATTTCGTAGGTTTATGTCTATAGTATATTTCTCTGGCTTAAGATTCCGGCCATGGTTGTGCTGCGCGCTGCCCGCCGCCCGGGGACGAGTTCTGCTGGGCTGAGTTGGGTGTGTGTTGGTCCGCGTGACGAGATCAGTGAGCACTTCTAAGATCGGGTCACAGCTCAAGGGTCAGGGCATGGTTTGGGCACTGGCTTGGGCTGAGCTCTGGCTTGGGCTGGCTGCTGGCCTCCGGAGCCAGGCGTGAGCTTTTTCGTGGCCAGGCAGCCAGTGTAACTCGCCAGCTGAACCCAAGTGCAGGCGTGAACGTAGCCCAGTGTGCCTGGACTGGGGAGTAGCCAGCTTAGGTTGGGCTGCAGGGGTTTGGGCTTGCTCAGTGAGTTGGCGGGTTGGGGGTGGCTAGCTGAAGGCCGCAGAACTAGGCGGGGTCGGCTCAGGGCAGCTGGAGCGTGGGCTTGGAGTGGCGCGAAGTGAGTGGGGTTGTTTTGTTTGTGCTTGATCCAAGACCTCCACTCATGCGCGATTCAACCACGAATAGATAGTTTTTGGTTGAGCCGAAAAGACCATCACCGCTTGCTGTATTGTGGCCACTTGCGTTCAATTTGCTTGCCACTTGGAAACCTGACATGGTCCGTATCATTCGCCACTGCTCCACATCACTTTGGTTCTCCATTCAATCTTGTTCGGCCCCATCGGGCCAACATTTCAGATGTTCTGTGGCACCCTTTTAAGTCCTTTGTTTGGTTGTTTCCCACTGGTCAACCCCATAAAGCGTTCAGTTTTTTTCTACTATGCCCAACTTGGATTCAGATTCCCCGTGTGGTGTTAGGACTTCGACAAGAAGGGTGAGCCGTGCGTGAGCTACGACGTGGTGGCCAACCCGCAGGCCGTTTTGGACCTCTCCAGATGTTTGGTACTTTCAGGGTCCACTTCGTCATTCCTCCAAGGTAGGCTTCAAAATAAACCCAGGGGTGGTTGATCTCCTCTCGCACGGGAATCCGTTTATGGGCGATGAACAATTTCTACCTGCAACATGCGCTTTTGTGTGGAACCAAAGACTTTGCTCATGCGCAAAGTTGGGGCCCCCGCAAGTGGACATCGTGTTTTGGCTTGCCTCCTTCACAAACGACTAGACAAACATGTCCCAGAAGAGCAAGTTGACTTGCGAAGGGGTTGCGTCGAAATCCATCATGCAAACCCAAAGCATGCCTGCATACGGCATGCGACCTTACGCGAGCAAACATTTCAGGGCTGCTTTCAACTTCGTACCACGTGTCATTTGAGCGAACGCCTTGACAAAGGCATCGGATTGCCTGTCCATTCGGATCATGAGCCTGCTTGCTTTGCTTGCGTTGCCGGCTTGCCTTCGACGCGCTGAGAGAAATGATGTTTTTTCCTGACGTGTTCAGCTTTGGGTAGTTTGAAAATCACTGCTTGGATCATACAACGGTTTTTGACGAACCCCTAACATGGGCAGCTACTTGTATGTGCATCTGGTGTTCCCTTGCACCAACTTCAATAAGGGCAGCCTCAGAAACAGCCCACCCAACTCTTCGCATTTGCTCGGCCGTCAACTTCTCCGTCAGTCGATCTGCTTCGAGGTGGTCGAGGAATGCTCCACGGACTCAGCTTTCAGAGAACAGGCGCGTGGGAGTTCTCCGGACCTTGGACTACAAAAATACACCCAAAACCGGGGGTGTGTGGGTGGGGTGGGTGGGTGGTGGGTAGGGTAGAAGCAGACCCCCAAACCTTGCAGGGGTTGGGGAGGTCCGAGCCCTTCAATTCACACCGTGGATGGGCGAAGATCGTTCGCACCACTTGGAAACCATGGGAAGCCATTGTCGTGGCATTCCAGGATACCATCCACAGCATTCGGAAAAGCGCCATGGCGAATCTCTATGCAGAGGTTGAGTGCCTTTTCGACCTCAGTGACTCCATCCCTCCAGGTTGTGCAGCTCTGCATGGCAGCGGTGTCGCAGAAGTACAAGATGCAGCACGGAGCCAAGTGAAGCCGGCAGGGCACCTGTTGGCGTGTGACGCGTCATCCCTGCGTTAAGACTGGAATTTGGGGTGGCACCCCAGCGTCGCTTTGGAGCGGGCTACTAGTCCCCTGTATGTACCTGACACTAGCAGCCAATTGGGCTGGAACCCCAGGAATTCCAGTTTTGGCTTTTCCCCTGGTGGGGAAGGCTGGCTGGAGCCGGGCCAGCTCCGAGTTCAATTAGTCCATTGTCATGTTCAGCATCACGCGCGGTTCAAGAAGACAACATTGAGTACAATGCCCAATTGCCATGACGAGATGGAGGGTCTTTTGCTCACCAGACTCCAATGACACCAGGATTGACCAAGACTGACTGTGGACCCTGCATTGATTCCCAAGCCCACAGGGGTGTAGACAGAGCAATCCAGGATCTCTAACCCGTCCACAGGAATGTTGGATGCTACCTAAAGCACCTCAAGCAAACCTGCGGCAGGATTTGTTTGTGTGATTTGTCCAGACTTATTTGGCACGCGCAATGCGCAACAGCACCGGAAGCAACAAGCATATCCGGCCATGGATTCAGAGTCAGTTTGCCCGTGCAATCCTTCTTTCCTTTCGTATGCCTGGGTTCTAACTGGGTGCGCATGTTGACCAGTACCTGTCTAGAGATGCCATAATCACGCAATTTTACCTGCATAAACTTTCTACCGGACCCAGGTGCACGTTTGCCGTGCACCATCAATACTCAAGAGCTTGCTGGGATGGCACAAGCTTCAACACGGGTGCCCCTTATATAATTTGGATACTCTTTGCCTTGTGCCAGCCAGAACAGGTAACAAGCTTAAAGCGGAAAGGCACGCTGACTCGAAGTGTGGCTGATTCTGAAGATGTCTGGTCAAGGTTCCTACAAGCAAATGAGTAGCTGACTTCTTGAGTTCATGCACTTATATGTTGTTTTTTTAGGAAGACCATTTTGGTGGCATGCAACAATTTTCTGGCCAATCCACTCGCAGGAATTGAGGTAGTGCTGAATATTTGGCGAACTGCGAATGTGTCAATTGGGAACCCGGGGAGATGACGGCAGACCCCCGGTGAAGGTTGGACCAGCGCTTCAAGCTGCCAAAGATCAAGTACAAGGCAGGGCGTCCAGCTTGAAATACCGGTTTTCGCTTTTTGGACGTCACAAGAGACCAAGCTCTTGGACTTTTTAGCTAATGTTTACTTGGGACAAAGAAAACTGTTCGACATGGATCTCTGACCTTTTGACCTTTTGGTTTTCCCTTTTTGGTCCATGCTAGGTAAAGGTGCCAAAAGGTTAACCTTTTGTTTCTGGGTCCTTTGGGCAACTGAGTTATTTCCAAACTCGCTCTATTCAATTGCGTTGCCAAGTCTGACCCACCTTGACCGTTTCCAGATGCCGTTGGACTTGGCTTTTGGATGATCGGATTTATGACACACGGTGGATGGAGCAAATCTTGCATCACTTTTGAAGCAGATCCATTCCATCTTGTTACGACTTGCCCCGCGCCCCCTGCTTAACATTGGTGCTCAGCTTGGCCGAGTTGGGATGGGTCATGCAAGATTTAGGCCATTGGCAACCTATGAGCGGTTTTGCTTGTCGTAACTCAATGCTAAGTAGGGGGCGTGGGGTGGCAAACATGTAGTCTCACAAAAACTCATGCAAGATTCCTTCCATCAACAGTATATACTGGTGGATGAAAACCCCCAAAAAGACTGGGATAGACCAAACCCAAAAGACTGGGTTGATAATCCAATTCGCAATTGGCGCAGCCCACTGCATCCTGCTAAAGTCTAACTAGCAAAATCCATAGGGTATGTGTCAACGAAGGCTTTTGGACCGCAGCATTGGGCGGTGTTCGTTTTGGTTTGCCGAGAAGAAAGCCAAACCTGGGATCCGACCAGGAAAGCCATCGCATCCGCAAACTTCCCAACAGTCAAAATACTGACCCCGGTTTTTTCGGGTTCTCTGAAACGATTTTATAGTTTTCGGACCATTTGTTTAGAAAGAAACATAGATGTGCAAGGAGTATGTGTATGGGGTGATGGGTAACATGGGGTGTTTTCTGTGTGCCTCCAATCAAAGCCGCCCGGCCGCAGGGCACTGCTGTGCAGGTGCAGCGCATCCGCGTCTCGGCAGAGGGAATTCTGGGTGTGTTGATTTTTTGGGGGACCCCGTGAACTATTTGAGGTTCTCAAAATTTGCTTTTGAATGAAAACGGTTTTCCTTGAAACCACCATGAGGGTCATTTGGAGCGTCTGACTCCAATGGACCCAGTTCAAAAGGGAAGCCGAAAGGACAGCCGAAAACCATTTCCGGGGTCATGCCCATTGTCACGAGCCATACCCAGAGGTCCCATGTCCGTTTGAAGTGCTGGTCACATCACCACTTCTTGTGGAGGGTGAGTTGAGCTTTGTATCTCCAAGTGACATCTATGTCGATTTCCATCATGTTGCCTTTCAACTTTAGGTTTTTTTTTCTTCCTGGGGAATAGGTTTGGCCCCGAAATCCCATGTCTTGAGTGACTGGGGAGTATTCTCGAGCTAAAGCCGGGCCGCCTTTGTCAATGCTTAAGTCAATCGCTTTTGGTAGACTCGTTTGAGTCAATTTGTTTAAGCCAATTTGGGAACCCTCATAGCAACTCTGATCGTTTCTTCTGGGAGGTCTGTTTGGTTTCCCAAAAGGCGGGGAAACAGGAGCCGTGTTTTTTGTTGTTATTCATTTAGAGTAGGTTTCCAGGGTACCATGGTTGACCTACGGGCCAAAAGGCAAACCCTCGTGTTGTGGGCGAATTGTGCAGACTTGTATTTTTCGCTTCCGGGGTTCCCCATAAATATTCCATTCCGGCGACTTGCCTAACAGCACCTTTGGGGCCCAACGAAAGTGAGCTGTGCTTTTGGTGGAGTGATTCCAAAGGAGAGACACAGCGATCCCTTCCTTCAGCATCTGAAAGGACCCTCGATCCCATCGAAGGGGTCAGCCAAAAAGCCGAAGGGCAGAAGTGGGGGGGGGCTGGGCTTTGGAAGCGAGGCAAGAAGCAGGAGTCGCTGATTCAGGAGGTGAACTCCTCCGCACCGCTGCCCGGAACCTCCGCCCAGAGGAGCCATGGGCAGTGGGTGGTCAGTGGGCGGGGTGGGTTGGGTGACTGGGTTGGGTAGTGGGTGGGGCAGTGGGTGCCCAAATAGGCATATTTAATATTAAGCCCGGAAGGACGCCGAAAGTGGATGGGCTTGTGATGCTCAGACACCCTATGTAGCACCCACGATGCCAAAAACCATCCCCCGACCGTTTATTATCACTTTGCAACCCCGTGAGTGGGCAGTTCGGGTAGAACCTAAAAGCGAACCCCGAGAATTTCAAAGAAACCCAACGGAGCCCAACGGACTCCAAAGGAACCCAAATCAACCCACAAAACCCAACGGAACCCGACGAAAGCCAAAGCCCCCCGGCCTGTTGTTTGCAACCGCCGTTTTTTTTGATTCCCTGCCCTGGTTCTCTGAGGGACAACCCATTTCCGCGAGGCGAGCCAGCGGGGAGTCGGCTTTCAAGGAGCGCGCAGGCGAGGGCTCCGACAGTTGGGCGCACCCGATGTTACGCTTTGAGGCCATTGAAGGTCCGTTGAACCCCAGAATATTCAATCCTCGTGTTGATTAAGGGAGTGACTGAGTGGGGGGGGTGCCCTTGTAGAGGGGGTTCATCACTTTTGGAGGGAACATGACACCCACAGGATGGGTCTTTGAATCCGGTAAGGTCCCAACGCAAACGACGGGGACTCTCCCATGTCCTTTGAAAAAACCACATATTTTGACCGGAGGCCCATTTGGGTTTGTCAAGTTGGAGGCTACTCAAAAAACCTGTTTGGGGTCTGTTTAAGGGGAATCCAAAGGAGAATCCACCATCGCCTATTTTAAATTTGATACACGCCCAGTTTTCTTGACACCTCGCTTGATGTTCCTTTCAACCGGTCCAAGGTCTGTTTGCATGGAGGTTGGCCGAACTCTGCTGGACAAACTGTTGAGTGGTGGGTCTTCTCCCAACTGCTGCGAAGCGGATTTTCTCCTTGGAAAATAGTACAGGACGGTGGCTGAAAGTGCGACTGCTTTGACTTTCGGGTTGCTCATCGACTCAAATATCATGTCCGTGGCTTTGGCTCTAGGATTTGTGCTCGAGGCGGCCACATCACGCGGCGTGTTTCCGGTACATCTTGTTTGCCTTCGGCTTTCAAACTATCTAGCCATGCGCGAGGCGATCTGCATTCACATCGGCCAGGAGCTTTGGTAGAGAATCGAGTAGCCCATGTTTGCTTTGGTTTGCTTCTTTCTCCAGACCATTCTTAATTCCGCAACTTCAACCCCGGCCCCGCACTTTTTTGGCAGATGTGCATAGATGTTTTCCATGTTCTAGACTCCTAGACACTTAAGCACTGTTCAACCAATCTTCGCCCAAGTCTCTAGACACCAGTAGAAGCACTTTTTTTGTGAGGTTCTACGTCCAGTTTTTTTTGGTTTCCCTTCGGTTTTTCAATCTGCAGGGTGGCGTGCAGATTGGCAACGCCTGCTGGGAGCTGTTCTGCTTGGAGCATGGCATCCAGCCTGATGGTCAGATGCCTTCGGACAAGACTATAGGTGGAGGCGATGACGCATCTAGCCTGATATGGGCAATCAGGGCGAACTGAAGACTATAGGTTTCCCTGGCCACTTAAATGTCACGGAAATGCTGCCAGCAGAATCACGGGCGAATCACAATCGTGGGCCGGTAAAGAATATGGCGGTTAGATTATGCCCCATGCCCCGTGTTCCACATTCATAATCGGCGTACCTTGTTTGTTGAGGGCAACAAAATAAGAGTGCCCAGCATGATTGCTAAGGTGTACAAGCCATTTTGTTCGAGTCAACAAGTTGCAAAGTCCTATGCAACAACTTGATATTGACATTGACGCCTGGTCTGTACATGTTGGACATGTGCCATTTCTTTGCAGGTCATCGCCTGCTGGCGTTTTGTAGCTCAAAAGACAACAAAGTTGATTTGCGCAAAGCCAATTGAGCAGCCCCATCTTACCTTGTGCTTTTCTGGGCCAGCCGTAGTTCGTGAGCGGGTGTGCTTACAATGTGCCGGGCATGCGCGCAGGCGTGCGACGTAGTGCTGAGCGAGTGTGCCTATGTGTATCATGTGCCAAACAATTGCGCAGGCCTGCAACATAGCTTGTGCCGGGGCGTGCTAGTCATCTGCCAAGCATAGGTTGCGCACATCTATGCGTGGCCAACGTTTGTGTTCCGCTGGAAACCCCGCCTGCGTAATCTGGAGACGCTGCTGAGTTGTTTGGGTGTGGGTCAAAATTACATCACCAGGGGACCGCAGGTTTGGTCCATGTTTACCAGGGATCCATTTTGGGTACCTATTTTTGCCTCACAGCCGTTTCTGGGAGACTGGAGGCTCCTCAACCTTTGTGGCTCAGGCATTCAACACCTTTTTCAGCGAGACGGGAGCCGGGAAGCATGTGCCTCGCTGTGTTATGGTGGATTTGGAGCCAACGGTCGTCGATGAAGTGCGCACGGGCACCTACCGTCAGCTCTTCCACCCGGAGCAGCTCATTTCCGGAAAGGAAGACGCGGCGAACAACTTCGTGCCAATTCCTAGTTTAGCCGTGCTATATGTTTGTTTGGCGGTATGCCACTGACCTTTCAAAGCAGAGCATATGTTTTATTTCAGGCGTTTTATTCGTTCTCAGGCACGGGGACACTACACCATTGGCAAGGAGATCGTCGACCTGGTCCTTGATCGATGCTAGGCTCCGTGGGTAAAGTTTGCAGAGCGATAATAGTTGTGTGCTGAATGGAAGTCTGAAAGACATGGCCAGTGCGCATCACTTGTGCCACTCAGGAATCCGCAAATTGGCCGATAATTGCACCGGCTTGCAGGGCTTCTGTGTGTACAACGCTGTCGGCGGTGGCACAGGATCCGGCCTGGGCTGCCTGATGTTGGAACGCTTGTCCGTGGACTACGGTAAGAAGAGCAAGATTTCCTTCACAGTTTGGTCGTGTCCGCAAGTGGCGACTGCTGTGGTGGAACCCTACAACACCGTGCTTTGCGTGCATTCTCTGCTCGAGCACACGGATGTGACCATCATGTACGTGCCTGGGCAGCAATCACTGAGCTGTCACGATCTATTTGTGAAGCTGAAATTGATTGCGATAGGCCTTGCTAACAATTTCGGTGATAAGTCTGATTCATTCACTACGTGGCCCAAGTGTCCCATCATGCGCATAAAGCATCCATTCATTTGCGTGTTGGTTGAACGTGGGAGTTTTGAGATCTGTTTGGAGCAGCAAGGACAACGAGGCGTTGTATGACATTTGTCGCAGGAACTTGGACATTGAGCGCCCAACCTACACGAATCTCAACAGGCTGATCGCTCAGATCATCAGCTCATTGACGGCAAGCCTGAGGTTCGATGGAGCTTTGAATGTGGATATCACCGAATTCCAAACAAATCTTGTGCCTTACCCGCGCATCCACTTCATGCTCACCTCCTTTGCTCCCGTCATCTCCGCGGAGAAGGCATACCATGAGCAGCTCTCTGTGGCAGAGATCACCATGTCCGTGTTTGAGCCTGCCTCGATGATGGTCACTCAGTCATCCAAAGCCGACCTTTCGATCTAAAGTTTATATACTTTGTTTCAAGGCTAGTCGCAGTCCATTCTTTCCTGGCCATGTTGGACAAGCAAGGTCAAGTGCGATCCTCGCCATGGCAAGTACATGGCTTGCTGCATGATGTGTCTCGGCCAGTCTGAAATGAGAGTTTGTGTGTTGTGTGTGTAAGTGTCGGTGTTTTGAGTGTTTCTGCATTTGCGTATTGCTAGCTAAATTCAGGTGAAAGTGTTGGTGAGATTGTGTGAGTGCGTGATATGATGCGCATCTTTACAATTCAACATGGCTGTCCGGTATTGATTGCTGGGGCGTGTTGGACACTGTAGTGCAGAATTATGTCACTCCCGCCGCAGGTACCGCGGTGATGTTGTACCAAAGGACGTGAATGCAGCGGTTGCCACCATCAAGACCAAGCGCACCATCCAGTTTGTGGACTGGTGCCCCACTGGCTTCAAGTGCGGCATCAACTACCAACCTCCTACGGTGGTGCCGGGTGGTGATTTGGCCAAGGTCATGCGTGCGTGCTGCATGATTTCCAACAGCACGGCCATTGCTGAAGTCTTCTCCCGTATTGACCACAAGTTCGATCTGATGTACAGCAAGATCCTTGCCGCAAAGTATCAATCGTCGTAGAGTACTACATGTGCGCAATACAAAACGCGTATTATAGTATCAGTAGTGCTGGAAATGATGAATGTGGCTGTGGTTGCCTGCTGTTTACGAAGAGGGTACCGGATAACGAGATGCTTGTTGATCTCGCTGACTGTTTTACCATTGCGGGCTTTTCAACTTTGTACGTCTGTTTGGAAACAATGGATCCGTGCCATGTGAAACATGGGATAAGACACCTTTTACCAACGGGGGACTCATCCTTCTGATTCACAATGATTGTAATAGTTGTTTCATAATTACTGCCCATGATTCTTGGGGTGTTTGTTAACATGAAACCTCGGCTTCTCAAATCATTGGCGCAGGACAGAATAATAATGATAATTATGATAAACAATAATACAGTAAACGGAATAATTAAGGAGCGGCTACGTGCCTGCCTGCAAAACAAGGCCCCAATGGCACGATTGCTTGCATCCAAGAAACATATTGACAGGCTCATGCGGTCTCGGATTATCATCAATGTCGCGGATTATCATCAATGTTTGCCCAAGTTTGTGGCAATCTTGGCATTGGTACACAGTCTTGTAAGCAGGTAAGGTAAGGAGCCATGCTGCAAAAGATAAAGTTCGATAACATGTAATTTGCGGTCATTGTTGAAACTTGCATAGAAGAAGAGTAGCCACAGGGTGCGGTTGTTCTTTACATTATGTTCGGTAGATTCCTTATATAAATACGAACTTGTGATTACGACTCATGCCCATTTGCGGCATCTCAACAAAGAAATCAGAAGCCCAACAGCATTCTCTGAAGGCGTGCTTTCGTCCACCACTATGTGGGGGAGGGTATGGAGGAGGGCGAGTTTTCCGAAGCCCGCGAAGACTTGGCGGCTTTGGAGAAGGACTATGAGGAGGTGGGCATCGAGACAGCCGAAGGGGAGGGCGAAGAGGAAGGCGCGAGCAGTTGGCAACTGGGGCGGTTTGAAAGATTGCGGCGGTTTGGTCAGTCTCGGCCTTGGCGGTTTGTGTGTTTGTCAGGGATTGTGTATTGCAGGTATATCATACAATATGTAGGTTATATTTGTGCTAGTGCGATAACTTGCATTTTCATTCATAGAATGCGACGTAAACGACGTTTTTTTTGGGTTGTACTTTAGGCACTGCTACCCAGGCATAGAGGTTTGCGTAATTTGATCAAAATGATTAAACTCAACAACATATTTCTGGCAGCCAGCCCACCAGGCTACGGTGATGAGTTCTAAGCCATCATGGCTGATTGAGTCCTGCCTTGCTCGCCCACAGCGGCGAGCGAAAGGCGGGACGAGCATCCACTGTGGTCGGGTAATGCTGTCGTTGTCAAATGTGTTCTCAAACTGTGCATTTGTTGCCACCGTGACCGGCCAACAGTGGCTCAGCGGCCCTTTCTTGCATGCCTTCCCGGGATCAAAAACGCTTGAACCCTGGGAGCACTGTGATGAGTGAAAAAGGGAGAGCTGGCGGGTAGCGCGCAGTGGGCGGGTGGCGTTGAACCTCAGAAATGCTGGGGCTCCATTGAAACATTATTTTTTTGGCAGCGCGTTTCTGAATCCTTGTGCCAGCTGGTACTGTATCAGTTTCCCTTGTTGTATTGGTGTCCAGCCATGGATTACGGATTAGGCTCAGGGATCCCCGATTGTCAGCCAACCCGTCATTGGCCACCGAGGATATTGTCAGTCACTCATTTGAACCTCCACCGCTGGATTGCCCAGATTTTGCAAGTCTCAACCGAAACTGCAAACAAAACCTTCAACATTTAGGGACTCCGTACCGAGTCCTCCAGGCCAAGCCCAAAAGGTGGGCTTCTTGGCTTTGCAGAATCCAGGTCCTGGATTCGGCAGCTTTCGCGAGAGCTTTTTTGCTTGCAGTTGGATTCCTTTTGGAAGCAACCTAAAGCAAGAGTATCGAGCCTCAACAAATATGAGCCACACCCATTTCTAGAATCCGGTCCGCATTTCAGGCACCTTGTGTACAGTAAATTCCTAGCGGTTCCTAACAGGAGAGAAGATTGGCCGACCCAAATTTGGTATCTGTGTCATTTTGCACCGCAAGATGTCCATCAGTTCATTTTGATCCGCGGATCTGCGCAGCTCGGGAATATCCTGGCTCTGGTGGGTAAATGGGGTTTCCCGGCCAATCCAAGCCACCAATACTGGTGTTCCCCAAGCTATACTTTAGGATAAACTACCAGAGGTGCATTTTGCTTGGATGTTAGGACTTTAACTTTTTGCCAACTAATGGGTTTTCCATTAAACCACCACTAAAAGTTAAACTTTTAGCAGGGGAGCAGAAAGCAACCGAGCATCATGTACTACATATTATGACACCGACTCAAGTCTTATGTTTGGAGTACCCCAGATGTCATCTGGCAATGAGAGCTGCAACGAACCGCCAGATGGGCTGCAGCCCCCGGACTTCACCGTGTTCTACGCGCAGCCGCAGGCAGTTGTTCTCAAGGTGGGGAAGCCTTGAGCCTGTTGCTAGCGAAAGGATTAGGGGGTTAGCCCCCTTAAAAGGGGGAGGCATTGTGAGGGGTCCGCAGAATTCCTTCTTTCCATTTTTTTTTTTGGGGGGGGGTTACAGCGCCATGGGAGGGTAATTTTGAGGTTGCCAACTCAAGTCAAGCACCCGGGAGTCGAGAGAGGGGATTCCTGATTCCCAAAGCGGATATTTCTTTCATGGGAAATCACTCCGAGACGGCAGTTGTTTGCACTCCTTTGTCTGAGTGCTGGGTATGTGGGGAACTGAGGAGCTGCTGAGTGAGATCTCTTTGAGAATAAGCCACTCGTTGAAACACGAAGAATAGTTGAGAAGCGACAGAGCCCAGCATCATTAATTTGCCAAGTGTTTATGGATGTACCCCAACGACAATGCCACCTGATTGTTCTTACGAGTTCTTTGCATACCTTCAGTAACAGTGACAGGTAAGCGGAGGCGGAACCTCATAGGTGTTGCATTCATATCATGTTCTACAATCCGCCAGCGGCTTCCGTGCTTGGGTTGGTGAAGTGTTATATTTATGGTCCACCATAGTGTGTGGAACAGGAAAGTATAATGCCTCGTTCTTTAGCAGTACTTGTCCATCTTGAAAATCTAGACAGGCACATGTGTCGGGCGTTGGTACGCCAATATGAAAGCGCTTCAAGACTTGTTTTCATGACATCTTTGTGTTTGTTCATGCTTGGAGGCAACCAGTCTTGACTCCCTGTGTGAGAACGTTGCCTGGAAGGTGCTGGGCTGCTTGGCTGTCTTTCGCAAACGTTGCTTACATCCATGCTTTTTGCACTTAAAAGTTGGTCCTAGGACCCTGGAGGAAAGGTTTTGGGCTCTTGAAGCAGGGCCTCCCAACCAACTCGCCTTTTTGCACCTACGGGTTCTTTTCAACCAGCGTTCTTTTCAAACACCGGCTGTTTCCCTGGGTTTTTGATGGTTTCCTGAAAAGATTCGGATCCCTGGAAAGAATGGAAATGGAAGGCACCCCTAGAGCAATGGGCATGGGGAAAGGTGCTGTGAAATGGACGGTACCCCTAGACTTCTGGGTTTGGGCACCCTCAATTGGCCCGCCAACGGCTGTCGCAGGATGCCTTTGAGCGAGACTGGGGCTCCCCTCCGGAGGACAGCGAGGAAGTGGCCAAGGACGGGGCTCCGCGCACTGGGGGCCAGGCACTGGGTGCCTCAAGTGGCGAAACATCTTGAGGGGTGCCCAAAATTACTTCTTCCTTTTTTTAGAGGGGGTGCTTTGTCTTTGAACCATCAACTTAGTCATTTTGAGGATGTTCGATTAGTGGACCCAGTTTCATTATCTGCGCCCTCAAACTGGAGAAGGGCCCTCTTGAGCATGGTTTGAGCTTTGTTTCGCGCAACACACATGATGGCCTGGCCACTTTTCCTGAATGGGACAGAAACACACTTGTATTTTTCTGGACAGCCGCGCGGGCCTGTAGAGGTTGTGGCAAGCGTTGCGTGGTTTCATCCGCAAGGATGTTTGAAGGATACTGCAGTGATTTATGATTTAGACACACTGAAACAAGGGGTGGGCCCAAGTCTGGAGTTTGCAGAGGCAGATGCCGCGTTTAGCTTTGTTCCAAGCAGTCGGGTTCCCGGACGACAATCACAATGATCATTGGAAAGTACATGAATCGCGGGCGTATCGAAACGCAAAGTTCGTTAGAACAGGAAGCCCTCCTGAAAAGGACAAGTTGCATTTGCAGCGTTTCAACAGTGGAACTTCCCTGCGGGTAGGTGCTAGCCATAGACAAAACATATAACTCACATGAATCTACAACCAAGGTTGCAACAACCTAGCAGGTCCGATCAGGACCAAATGTGCGTTTCTTAATCAACAAAAGAGTCCAGCAGGGTTTACCGGATTCAGAGCTGTCCTGTTCATCGACGAGAAAGACACGTAGCGATCATTTGATGAGCTGTAAATAGTGAAGCCCAAAAACGGAGGGTTCCTGGCTGTGTCCCGCAAGTTCCCTAGGAGACATACCTCTACGGCTTCGACCTGCCTTGCTACCGGGTGAACACCTTTCAGGACGGGCAGATGTCGTGTCCCAAAAAAAAAATGTGTGTGTGTGTCTCTATTGTTGAGCAAAAGGAGGTCTGGAACAAACAATACCCATCCCCTGCTTTCCCTGGTGAAATTCAAAGCGATAGCTCCGAGAGTTCTGTGGACAGAGGGCCCCGTTGAGGGGCAAGTTATGAGCTCCGAGGTCCTTTCATGGGGAGTTTTTTTTGTTTTTTTTCTCGTGGTAGTTGCCCAGATCCGTTTCCTCGGCTTTGTGAACACTTTTAGATTGTAGACAGCCCCCATAAGGAGCTGTCAAGTATTTGGCACAATGGGACACTGCTTTTCTTCAGTGGGTGTGTTTCAAGGGGGGCCCTAAAATGGGCGGGCTCCTTTGGGTTGCCCCTTTACTTTTGACTAAATTGGACGACACCCATTGCCTTGTTTTGGAACGTGGTGTGCTGCAGGAGCATGACACCAGTTGGGGCCTAATGCATTTGAGCTCGCTTGCGTTCGGTTCCCCTTTCTTGGCTGATGAGTTGCTTTCTGGTTCATTTGATGGCTGGTTTGCTGCTTTGGCACAAGGGTCTGTTTTGGGTCGGGTTGGCTGGATCATGATCGAAGTACATCACATTAGCTGGTTTGCTGGTTGCTTGCTTGTTTGCTTGCTTGCTTGTTTGCTTGTTTGCTTGCTTGCTTGGCTTGGCTTGGCTTGGCTTGGCTTGGCTTGGCTTGGCTTGGCTTGGCTTGGCTTGGCTTGCTTGCTTGCTTGCTTGCTTGCTTGCTTGCTTGCTTGCTTGCTTGCTTGCTTGCTTGCTTGCTTGCTTGCTTGCTTGCTTGCTTGCTTGCTTGCTTGCTTGCTTGCTTGCTTGCTTGCTTGCTTGCTTGCTTGCTTGCTTGCTTGCTTGCTTGCTTGCTTGCTTGCTTGCTTGCTTGCTTGCTTGCTTGCTTGCTTGCTTGCTTGCTTGCTTGCTTGCTTGCTTGCTTGCTTGCTTGCTTGCTTGCTTGCTTGCTTGCTTGCTTGCTTGCTTGCTTGCTTGCTTGCTTGCTTGCTTGCTTGCTTGCTTGCTTGCTTGCTTGCTTGCTTGCTTTTGCTTGCTTTTGCTTGCTTTTGCTTGCTTTTGCTTGCTTTTGCTTGCTTTTGCTTGCTTTTGCCTACTTTGGCCTACTTTTGCTTGCTTTTGCCTACTTTTGCTTGCTTTTGCCTACTTTTGCTTGCTTTTGCCTTTGCTTGCTTTTGCTTGCTTTTGCTTGCTTGGTTTTTTCTTCAAGTGGTTACCGAGTTCGCACATCGGACTTTGGATGACAACCTGTTGCTGGGTCCGGTTTGAGTGGTTTTCCAAGTTGCTTGGGGGATTGTTTCATTTGGTTTGTATTCTTTCGAGGCTACCATGTTTGGGGCTTCTTTAACCGAGAACCCACAGGACAACTCACCTTTTTCGGCGTCCATTTCAGTCTACCGTTCTTATAGGATAATTTAAGGATGTCCCTTCAACTTTACTGGAGCCAGTGCTGTCAAACACCAAGTCCCCTTCTGCGTGTGCTCGTGCCATTTGTGTCCCACAAGGAGAAAATCAGAGGCACCATGAAGAACAAGGCAGGAGCATGCCCCTCTGGCAGCCTCTTGGCACGTTGCTCAAGTGAGACAGTGATAACAGGTGTCCTTCAGGCCTTGCTTGAGCCTAGATGGCACTTGTTTCAGGTGTGGTTCTAATTAGGTTTTCCATTACCATTTGGTTCATATTCCTAGGACTATGTGGAAAGGCATAGGCCATGTGGTAAGATATAGCCGCCAGATATCCGGATCCGGGGACCCGTTGAGCTCACATCTCCGGGTGTTTGTGTGTGTGTGGGATGTTGGCGGTTGTCTTTGGCTCGGACTTGCCCTTTGGCTTGCCTTTCCATTTTTGGCAAAGTCACACACTTCATATCACAGCACCTTTTCCCATACCCATTTGCTCTAGGGGTAGCTTCCCCATTCTTTCCACGGATCCTTCTTTCTAGAAAACCATCAAACACCCTGGGGAAATGGCTGGTTTTCGAAAAGAACGATCTGAAAAGAATGGGGAATCAACCCCTAGAATTGCTGCCCCTTGTCTTGACTGCTATTGGGTTGGATCTTTAGACTTTGGCTTTTGGGGAAGCCACTAAACCCCCCAAAAGTTAAACTTGTTGCAGGGGGGGTCAACAGCAACCAAGTTGCGTTATTTTTGCTTTGGAAACACATTCGACGCCATGTCCGTCAGGCGCAAGTGGAAGCTGCAGCCTCGGATTGCTTCTGTTTGTTCCAGGGGGTTGAAAAGTCCCCATATTTCCCCGTGGCTCGAAGATAACCTGAACAGGGCCAGTTTAAAGTGAGTCTTTGTTTTGGAGGGGTTGTGCTAGGGAAATATGGGGAACCCTTTACCCAACCAATGAAAGGGGCACCGGGGCCTCCGATTTCAGGTTCCTTATGTACAACCCCAACTGATTCACGGGGATTGTGTGAAACACCAACCTGCTGTTCCCCCCCCCCCCCAACAATTTATTGGGGATAGTTATTAGGGATTCGTCTCAACCCAAATCGATCGAACAGTACGCTTGTTGCTATAAATTGTAAACGCTTCGCGTTGCCCGCCTCGGTTAGTATGCTTTTGGCTGGCTTTGAGGTACTGTGTTTTGGTTTGCCTTGAAGTGTTTGTGTTTGTTGGAGAGGTCGGCACCGACAATGCCGCGTGTCGACCAGGGAGCCGTTGGCTCCTCGTTGCTGTAGAACTCGAGATTCTGCGGGCTTGGATGTCCGTGGTTCCGGCGGAGCCGCTGTATCAGCCGTAGTTCTTCTCGGGCTTGTTCTGAGACTCGATCTCCTCCGCGGGGAGTCAGCGCGCGATGTCTCCTCGATGTCGTAGTCCTTTGCATTTGACCTATTGCAACGAAATTTGATTTAGAAGGGAATTGATTTCGGGAGAATTTCAGCGGTTTCCAGGGGACATTTTGACCAGGCTTCTGGACCGATTCTGAGGGGAATCTGAGAAGTTTCTGTTGGGGGGAAATGTATGTGTGTTTGCCCGATGTCTAAGACTCATGGATGCCTCGAGAGGGTTTGGGCTGCAGAAGGATCTGGCACATGGACTTGCTTCAGAAGGGTTGGAGGCAGCTGGAGCATGGGTTGTTTGCTTCACGGCGAATTGTTGGGAATGGTCCTTGGGGGAATATTCCAAAACCTTAAATGTTCTTGGTGTTTGCTTACTATTATTATTTTTATCTCTCTCTCTTTTTCTTTCTTTCTTTCTTTGTTTCTTTCTTTCCTTCCTTTCTTTCTTTCTTTCTTTCTTTCTTTCTTTCTTTCTTCCGTCCGTCCGTTTGTCTGTCTGTTTGGCTGGCTGTCTGTCTGTTTTTCTTGTCTGATCGTCTGTCTGTCTTTTGTCTTTTTGTCTTTTTGTCTTTTTTTTGGGGGTCTTTTTGTCTTTTTGTCTGTCTGTCTGTCTGTCTGTCTGTCTGTCTTTGTTTCTTTGTTTCTTTGTTTGGCAACTAAGATCAGCACAGCCCTTAGGCCCAAGAGGAGGAGATCCCTGCGGAAGAAAGAGCCAAGAAGGCGAGGCCTTGGGTCGAGTCCTTGTGAGACCTTCGGCTGTGGGTCTAAAATTGGGTAATTACCCCCAAAATGGCAAGCGCTCTGGTAAATGGAAAAGTAGAGAGAAAAAGCCTGCGGTCCAATTCCTGGTAAATTTTGACTTGGACCCATACCCCATTTGAGTTGTTCAAGTCTTTTGCCTGTCTTGGTAACGCATAGGTGCGCCCACCGACCGTGAGGTAGGGAACAAGTTGTGACATGTACTGGCGTAGATATTTTGACAAAGAGTTTCAGTCACTGCATCTTATGTTAATGTCAATGAAACTAAGAAACATGAGTCCAGAGAGGACAAGGACCACGGCTCCTCACAAGGAAGACATGCAAGTTGCTCGATGCCAGATTTCCAGACCAGATGGCATTGACCATCACCCACCTGCGCAGGCTACTTGCGAGATGATCAGCAGCAGGATGGGTGCAGCGTACTGCGCATGCCTGCGTTTCAGTTCTGAGGCAGGCCATGCCTGGCTTTTGAAGAATCTCCGATGTAACTTGGTGGTCCCCACCATCCCCTTGGGTTTTTTAGGTGTTTACCGGGTTTAGTGGTGGTGGTGTCAATTTGACCCACTGATATTTAGACTTTTAGCAGGAGATTGGTTTGGACAGCCCAGGTAATGTTCATTGTTATTCCACAAAAAAATATACCCCAATGAATGCTGCATCTCGGGGCAGGGCACTCTATGTGTACAGGAGGATTCTTTCGAACGTACGTTGCAGGGCCCCTTGTTGGGACGCACTTCAATCAGACGCTCATGAACACGTTGTTGAGCCGCTCGGAGAAGTTGGGGGTGCTCTTGTGACATCTTGTGACACAGCCACAACAAGTCGGGCAATCATAGAAACCAGATACAGGAAATTCTATAGGCCAACATCCACCGAAGACGTGCTGTGGTTGATTCCTCCTCGAAGCTGGCCAGATGCAAGGACATGCTGCGTGCAAGTACGCTTGCCCCAGCTGGATGAGAATGTGCCCGCGCTGAAGCAGTTTGCCTTGGAGGCGTCCTGGATTCCTTTTGGGTCATACATACAATTTCATTCGACTCCAACAAAAGCACTTTTTGCAAGCGCCGGGAATTCATGGGTTGTCAAGATTTTAGATCACCGGTGGAACGGTACCGCTTGGAGTTTTAGCAAGCATGCGTCTGATTCAAGTATGTATGCCGATTTTTCCAGGAAGCAATCGACCTCACTGATGAGGCTTCTTTCTTGACTTTGGGCTTCCTGACTTCAGGATGGCCATAACTAGAGAAGTCACCCAGCGAAGCCTTGCTTGGGTGTGAGCCCCGCATTGGGCAGGGCGTAGACACACATCTCCACCTATAGTTAAATGATGTCCAGCTGAGGGTCTCGAATTAAAATTCGTAAACAAAACTGCTTCTTTGTGCTGGTGGTGTGTTTTTTACTGCATTTCCTTGTGTTTTGCCATTGCTTGCGCTCATGCTGACCCCCCCCCCTCCCCCCTGGCACCTCGCACGGCCAGGTCAGCGATGAATGCTTGAGGCGGGGCGTGAGAGATCAAGGCTGAAGAACTCAGCCTTAGCGTCCTTCTCCAGTTTTTTTTGTTTTTTTTTGGTTTGTTTGTTATTTATCTTTTTGTCCCATTGTTTCATTCCTTTTTTCAGGTCAGGTCCTGAGTTGTTCAGCGGCGCCACTTATGTTTCCTTCTTTTTTGGTGGCTGCCCCGCTAAAAATGGTCTTCCCCAAAAAGGGTTCCCTTTTTGTCCCAGGGTCACTGAACAACTGACGGTCTGTTCGGAACTGCCCTGAGTATGGATATGTTGGTGAAGGTTTGCGTGGAGGGCAGAATCTCTGCTCCGACCCGGAAGCCTTGGTCGAGCCGGATTGTGCCTTCATGTTTTGTGTTTTGTTTTGTTTTTCTTTTCTTTTTTCCCAAGTTGATACCGGCATGTCCCGAAGTGGTGGTCTGGACCTTCATTTTGAAGGGTCATGAAGACTCCATGTGCACCTGTGATGGCCTCAGAATTCCGCGCTGGAAGCTCAGGTTGAACTTCCCCATGCTGCCCCGCTCCAAGAAGGCGGCCTACGCCAACCTCGTGGTGTGGTGGTGCGGGCCCCGGCCGGAACGAATCGCTGAAGTTCGAAGCGGAGAGTCGCAGTGGATGGGTTGCGGGGGAAGAGGAGGTTTGGAGTCAGTTTGGGTGTGAAAAGAAAGACTTACTTCTTCAGTGCATCGACTTTATACTTTTTAGGAAGACCATTTCAGTGGCATACAAAAAGTGTCGACTTTTTCAGTGTCGACTTTTTCTGACCTCCCACTCAGAAAGTGAGAAGAGGTGCAGCTTGGCCAGCTTCAAACGAGTTGCCGGGTCAGATTTGGACATGTTTGTTCTGGAAACCGGGCTCAGGTTGCATTCCTTCGAGGCAAGACACTCCCCACGAAGGTTGAAGGAAACGTTCAACGCGCCCATCAGTTGTGAATGGCAGAAACAGCGTCACGGTTCGGACTCGGATTCACAAATCCCAGGTTTATTCATGGGGTCCCGTTCAGTGGGATCCATCATGTAGGGCAACATCCCCTATAAATTCAGGGGGCTCATTAATTCAGGGGCACCATCAACGGTCATGAACATGTATCATCTTCAGGAGACCGCATTGAGTCAGGCAGAGTTTCGCTTTGACCCTCAAAAGCTTCGAAGCCCTTTTTTGAGAGGGTCTCGCATTTTCCTCACCTGGGTATACTCTGCCAAGGTGCCAACCCATAGGATTCCAACCACTTTCTAAGAGCACAACGTAGCCCAGACATACTGTGGATGGACGAAATCCATTTCGCACCAACTAAGAGGCCCGGAATGAGGGACAATTCCCCTATAAATACCGACAAACAATGGTTTCCCATGGTTTCCAAGTGGTGCAGGATTTTGTCCATCCACAGTACCAACTACAAACTGGAAAGAAGGCTCCCCACTTGGCCCAGGCCCCTGCCCTTCAACGCTGCGGACGCCTTGGCTCACTGGGATCCAAAGGCCGGAAATGATCCAGAGGAGGGAAATGTGTGTGTGTGTGTGCGGCGTGTTTTTGAGGGTTCCCCCTTTGTTTGACACGTACTTCAAATTTGGCTGCGGCTTGGAATACGCTGCCTGTTTTAAGTCCAATCGTCCGTTTGCAGTGGCGTGGGGGAACGCCCCAAAGATCGATGCCCAAAGGCTTTTTGGATGCGGTTGATCTCCCAAGCACTGCTGCAGTGAAGCTTGCGTTTCTTTGATTCTGCCTTGCCTCACAGAGGACATCTCAAATGCCTCACCTCGTATAGATGCTGGCAGGAAGGTACTGCTTCCTCTCCCACAAGCTGTATTACATGGGCAGAGTTGAGGACATGAGCCAGAGTTGGCGGATCCTTTTGAGAGGAAGCAAATGCAAACATATCAGGCTGCAAAGTTAGATTTTGTCTTTGGCAACTTTGAGGGAGCAAAGTGCAACCCAAGGCTGTGAAGAGCTGGTATGCCGCATGCCCCTTTGCAACTGGTGTCGTTCTAGGATCTCCAATTGGGGTTCCAAATGACGCAAGGTTCCATGGGATAGCCAAAGTGTTTCCAGATGGCCACATGCTTTGTTGCCCCTTCATCGAACCACCTCCCGTGCCTTTGTATCTTCCGCCTTCCTTGCAGCTAGCAAAATCAGCAGCTGCTCCTCCGTCCAACCCCGGCGCGCCCAAAATTGCTGTCAGGCAGACTTGCTGACGGCGCCGGCCCCAGCTGCGAGTCACGGTGCAGTTATTGGTTTTGCTTTGCCCAAGTGCCTTGTCTAGCGGCAAAAAGCAAAGGCTAGTGAAGTGAGTTTGGACCCTTTTTCTCAACCAGTCCTGGCAGGTTTGAGAGGGCTTGCTGCATCTCGCTGATGAACCACGGAAGATCAGTATGGGGACTGACTCAGTTTGCTCCATAATATTGTATACATATATATATATGTATATAATATACACATACACACATGTTAGTTTATATATTTATATACGTACAAAGGAGTTGTTCGGGCTACCATCCAGCAGAATGTGCCGACCATCAGCTTACAAACCCTAACGGGCTCGAGCCTTCTTGTCATCAAAGAATTAGACGGGTACCTCAGGTACCTCATTTGGGAACACTGAAGAGCTCCCTGCATTTAGGACGCAACGCTTAGCATCCTGATTTCGCAACAATGCAAACCTCACCTATGGGAAGTGGCCTCTGCTTGTGCAGCACATTTCATTGCCCTGGCTTTGCCCCGCCCGCCTTTTTCCAGCACCACATCAGATCAGCGTGGGTTTGGTTGCAAGTTCTCTAACCTCAATTCGATCACAGGCTGCTTCACGGGACATAGCTTGGCCAGTTGACTGAAGAATGTCGGCCATCGGCAACTGCAGTTTTTCCAGTTTGTTTTGATCCCTTGACATTGTCAAACTAGGACACCTAAGTTTTGGGCCAGTGCATGATTCTCCGATGATTCTTGGTGCATCGCGGCATGAGGTTTGCCTGCCCACACAGTGTGCAGCGCCGGAGGCAGGGCGTTTGGCTTCAAGGCAACTTTTTTCTCGTTTGGCGACATGGCTGTGTCTTCTTTGTGGAGGGAATGCCTTTGGTTTCCAAGTAGCAAAAAAAATCAGCGGCCCCTCGTTTTGACACGGATCCCAATGAGCTTGGGGTGGTTTGATTCGAGTTTCACCACGCTTTGTTTTCGTGGAAAGATTCCCGCCTGGTATCAGTTTGCCGGACATCGAGGACCCTGCAACTTGTGGGTGACCGCAGCCGTGTTGAAGGTGATTGAAGGGGATCTAGCCAAGGTGAGATAGACCTTTCCACAAATGCATGTGTACAGTCTTGCTTTAAACGGTGTACGAAACCGTAGCCATTTGGTGAGATCGAATGATGTTTGTTTCACGCAGCCTGGGAAACACACACGCAGATAAGCCCAAGGAATGCCCGCCGGATTACTCGGGCGAATTCAAGGTTACGGCTGTTGGATTCCCTTCGCCCCTTTTCAAAGGTCGCCATTATCGTACTGTTCGTGCTTTCAGATGCCAATCAGCTATTCTCCCACGGCCACTACCTTGCAGCCTGCGGCTTGAAAACACCAAAACAGGAGCCACACCTTCCACTTCCATAGAACCGGACGTTTCAGGGTGCTGGAAGACGATTTTCCTTTCAGAGAAACCCTCTGGTGGGTGCATATTGGTGGATAGGGTATATACCCGTGCTAGTTTAGTTTTGTTTAGATGAAATGGTCTGCAAAGCGACACGGGCAGGGGCCCCGTTTTGAGGCTTCCCTATTTGATTTGGGAGCCAAAACTGGGGTCATTATTTTGACGGTTTCTGGGGGTCGTCAAAGTCAGAAAACGGGGTTGTTTCCCTTCAAGCCACCATTTGGAGGGTGACTTTGATCAAGGTAAAATAATGAGGCCAGCAACAGCTTCACCTCTCGCGGGACCCCGCAGCCAGCAGGGAATGGAGGCCTTTGACCCTGAGCTGCTGGACGCAGTCTTCTGATGCGGATGGAGGGGATCTGGCAAAGGACGTGTTTGTGAGTCAGTCTTCATTCCACATATAGCAGGGCTCCTTAAAAGATACATTTTGCAACCATTTGAAACATGGCTTTTTCCACCAAAATGAAGGGAAACCACCATCTACAAGGCAATGTTCAGGTGTATAATGTAAGGATCTTTGTATAGGTCGTGTTAGACATGCTCTGCGGGTGTGCTTGGTTTGCCTCGACCAAGATTTCTGCTTGACAGGCGCAAGAATTCCTCCATCCAAAGCCAAGAAAACTGGGATCTCATGCTGTACATAGACCGCAGGGGTCGACATGGGCCTGCACTAAAATCCGTGCGGTCCGGGCGCGATCCAAATGAAAGGCCGGAAACAATTGCTCGCGAGTGCCACCGCAGTGTGTGGATACGTCTGGCCCCTTCAGGCGCTTGCAAGTGGCACAGATTGGCTGAAAATTGCAGGTGATCACCATGAGTCCCAGTAGAGTTGCCCAAGAGTTCGTGTGCCCTTTGAAGTTTCTCAAAAATGATGTGGTCATTTCAAGCCATGTCTCCTGACTGAGATATTCCTGCTTCATTCTGCCCAAGCTTTCCGGTAGTTCCTGGCAAGCACCATGCAGCCGGGATCTCGGAAAGTTCCCTTCGTCGGCGCCGAGCACGGAAGGATTTGCCCTAGTCTTCCAGGTAACTGAGTATTCCGTCCTATGAACCAAGCGGAAACGAAAGGATCCGCGCTACGCGGGGAACTCTCATGAATGAAACAACTTGGGATTGGGGAATGCTGGATGACACGTGGTTAAACTCAACTTTGTTTTCGGGACTTGGTTGATTGGAGCCAGCAGGCTCAAGGTTACCTTTGAGAGTGCCTGTCGATCGTCATCTAGCCATTTCATGCCCTCCCATCCCAGCACCACCAGCGAGGCCTAACGTCACATTTGATTTCTATGCAAGAAAAAGCAATGATGATGTAACAATGTTTTCTTGCAACCTTCCCGTGCGCTTCCCCTTTGGCAAGAACGGGATCCAATCACACTTCAGCTAGCATCAAGCGACAAATGCAGCGGCGATTGGCATTTGGTCAGCGGGCGAATGATCTGAGGCTTCGTTACTACCTCAACGAGAACGGCAAGAGGGCGCGGAGGGTCCTGCCATTGGCTATGATGGGTATGGAAATATCGGCGCAGGGACCCCCGAAATTGTGGTTTTCCCTCAGGCTTCCCTGGAAAACTAAGATGAAACAGGCGCCCTCAAAAAAGCAACATCACGCGCACCCATTTCCAGCGAATCATGAAATGAGCAGTCTCGAGCCCCTGAGGTTTGGTGATTGATGTCCCAATAGAAACGGGATGATTTCCCTCGTCTCATCCCATGCCACAGCATAAGACTAGGCCTTATGCTGTTGCATGGCCAGTGTTTTCAGCTTCTTTACCTTTTTTGGGGGAGGGTTCCCCTACTAAAATAGACTACAGACAAAAGGCTCTCTACCGGAGGACCTAGGAGAAGCAAGTGAAAGAAACCCATGGAATTTGGGGATTCACTTTGAGACTTGAACCCAGTGTGTCCAAACTAGGAACCCTTGAAAGGTGCGGGTTTTCACGGAAGAACACGAAGCCGATCATTTTTCAGGGCTGAATGTTGTGGTTTTGACAACATCTCGTAAACTTGAAATGGAAACTCCAAAAGTAGACATTGATACGATGTTTACACTCTTCCCAGCAACTGTTCGACCCACAAGCCAAGAAATACAAAGGATCGAGATGGATCGAGGTCAACAAACATGTTGGGAAAATTCTTCTAACATGTATACATATATATATATATATTTGTTTCTTTTTTTTTTTTTTCATACAGCAAATACATTGAATGAAACGCCGTCGCAGCCCCGCAAGGTGGAAAAACATTCAGTCCCTTGCTCGGGCCTCGGGGCTCGGATAGGTCTACACCCTCGAGAGCTCCGTGGGGGAGGCGTCGGGGTGAAACCCGTCGAGTGGAGAGAGCCCAGGAAACATAGGAAGAAGCGGGGGGGGGGGGGGGGAGGGCGGAGCATGGGGCTAAAAGCATGTAGAGGAAAGGGTCAAAGTGCCCAAATAAGATTTGTACTTTTCGGGACAGGCACGGGCAAAGGGCTGCAGGTTGTGGTTTTCGGCGGACAACATAACGAAACTGTCAGCATATGCTTGGCTCCAGCTTATGTTGATACGCCCTTGCCATGTTTGAGTTGCCGAGAGTGTTGCCAAGTGTGCACGACGCGGGCAGCACGCATTTTGACTTGTCCATTGTTGGTTTGTTTGTTGAACAATGGAGGAAGGCTACAACTTTCCTGCGTGTCGTTTGAGCACTTATCAAGAGCTGCACCGGTGGCGGGGGTCGCAAGTGGTAATAGCTGCGGCGGCGCAGCGGGGAATTTCTAGATTGGCGCATGTGTGAAAATATGGGGTCTAGTACCCTCAAAAACCAGCGGTTTTCTTTTTGGTTCCCTTTAAAGCAACCCCCCCCACAGGGTGACCCTCAACAAAAACACGACGGCCAACCAACCCCTGGAACAAAAGCCGCGAGTTGACCAGTTGGACCTGTAGTGTCAGCTGCCCCATTCATATAGCAACGGTGGCCATTTTTTAATGGCGCACCAAAGGTTCAGACCTTTCGGCCAACCACTCAAGCGAGTCGATGCCTCAATCACTATCCACTCGCGTGCTCCCTGCAGGACGAGGAGGAGAAGCCCACCTTCTCCGCCCACCCCGCAAGGCACGTGTGTCGGTGTCGTCCGCTGTCTTGGGCGGTGCCGGCGTGGGTTCCTTTGACCTTTGAGACTTAGGGATCACATCTGACTCCGTGAGGTCCTGGACTTTGGCCACTTGGGAAGAGCATTTTAGTGGTAAAGCTGTTCGGACTCTTTTTGGGCCTATTTACTCAAGTGAGGCAGAATAAAAGCACCACTTCTGGCAAAGAGATCGATGAACGAAGGTTTGTGGCATTGATGACATTGGAGCCCGGAGGACGCGGATCCGAGGAATCTATGAATCCGATGTTGACATTGAACCACCGAGTCCGAGGGTATGAGCAAGGAATACACACAGATGATGTGGGCTGAGAGAGACAACATTGCCGGTGTGTTGCGGCGTGGTGTAGGTTGCTGTTCTTTGCGCTTGAAAGCAGGCAGGCCCGTTTCGGCCTGCGACCTGAACTTTGTTGCTTCCTGCACAAACCCCACATTGCAGGGCCACATGCAGTTCAGATATTCAGACTATCGTGATAGTGAGGGCTTTCAGCTGTTGTTGTGGCAGAACATGGCAGAAGTACTGTGTATGTTTTGAACGTGCGGGCCTAAATTGTGCGATTCGTGTGTCCTTCGAGTGCATGTTTCAAGAACCAGACCTCTCCCGGGTAGCCGAAGCGTGTCTCGCAGGTTTTCTCCGGATGACAAGTACTCGGAGCACAGGATCAAGCACGGAGCCCCTGAGCCCTAGAAACCGAGCGGATCTTTGGACACAGCTTGTTGGTTGAGACAGCGCCTTTCCGCATCGGACCCACAAGTTAACATTATTTTTGCAGAGGGGTCCTTACGGCAAGGCCATGATCCATTGCTTTCCATGGCTCTGAATGAGTCTTGGCCATGTGAATATGGCAAGGGTCGCAGGATGTCAAAATGCCCGGTGCCATGTTTGTTTCCCAGTGTTGTCACGTAATCATTTGCACCTTGAAGTGGCCATCGGTCAGATTCTTTCAGATGTCAAATATAGACACCTTGGCACACATTTCCCGTGAGCCACGGTCAACCAAGCGGTTCAGTATTATGTGCAAAACCAGGTAAGTGTATCCCAGCATGGCTGGTGGAAGTGTTAGAGGGCAGGCTTTCTTCTCGACGCCTGGATTTTGGCCTTTTGTCCCTGTCTCAAGCTGGTCCCTACTTGCATGTTTCTACATCCTGCAGCAGTACTTTATGAAACAGTTTCGGGCGGAGGGTATAAGCATTTTAACATGTCATCAAGAAAACATGAACATGCGATCAATTACGTTTCTTCCAGGTGAATGTGCTATATTATATCTCTGCTCAGTACCCTAGCAGGTAGTGAATAACATGCTCTATAGGTAGTGAATCACATGCACCATAAATTCTGATAATATTTGAGGGCCTTGGCCACCCTGCCCTTGCCGTGGTACCTACCCTTGATGTTATTTGTGGAGCTTACTTTGGTTCCCCATCGCTCATCCGAAGCGGCTGCGTCATGATTGGATACTTTTGGTCAGAAGCGGCGGTCCACCGTTTACTTCTCATGCAGTGACAGTACAGGCCCAACAGGTTGCACACAGGATGGCCTCGGATGGCATGACTTCAATTGTTCGTATTTCTTGGCCCATGCCTAGTTATCTTCCCAACATTCACAACACGTGTCTGTGTGGGTGTGTTGTTTTAGGGTACCCGTTTCAATATTTATCACGGATGCCACAGGGAAACTACCCCACACCCGAAATACGCTCAGCTGTTCTGGCCGGATTATATTATGATTATACGTCCCTATTCAGTGTTTGGCACTCTTTCTGAGAGATGACTGGCACGCACAATAGGAGTTGCCGTTGTTGTAGCGGTGTTCCACTACACATTCCGGATTCGGCTAATTTTGAACAACCCAGTCAAAATGAACTGAAGCCGTTTAGCGGGGGCTACGGCACGCTCGAGCGCCAAGGTGTAAGAAGCGCTTTGGAGTGCTCAAGACGCAGGCGCGACGCCAGAGGGGTTTTCAAAGTTAGTAGAACCCGTCGTTGGCTTTTACAGCCAGTACGTGGTTGATCCCTACCGCCCCCTAACCCCAGTGCCCCTGCCAGCAAGCATTTGCATAGCTTTCAAATCCAGGCTGCGTTTTCCTTTAATGTTTTCGACCCCGGCAGAATGGGTGGTTTTCCAGTGGTTTGCGCAGCAAACCCGACAACGGACCCCGAAAAAGACACGCGCATATCCCACAGCCACTCATTCACTGGATCTGCCAGCATGTTACTGGCTTCCTCCGAACGTTCTGTGCACTGACTCCGCGCACAGATGAAGCCGGAGGAGCTTTGAGATGTGTGCAGCTCAGATTCTTTTCGCGTTCACTTTTGGCGTCTGAAGCAAACGGGAGCCACACCGACCTGAGTGATGGCCGTCCCTGGTGCCTGGAAGACGACTCGAATGCTGTCCATTTCTGTGCAGCTACGATATTCTTGGATACAGCTCGAACGGGCAGGCAGGAATGGGCCCAAAAAGCACTGGCGATTTTGGGGGTCAAGAATCTGCACCACCCCGATGCGCTCGAGCACTAAGCGCTCGCATTGAGGTGCAGTGGAGAGGGCGCGATGCCCGCGCGACGCGGCGCGACATGGCGGGACATGCCTGGTTTCAACGAGTGTTTCACCAAGAGCTCGAAGATCAAGCGTGTGGATGTGTGCAAAAAGGCAAGGGAGGCGCAGCGATAAGGGGCAGGGGTGACCGATGGAAAGGCATCATTCTTGATAAACCTCCCCCAGACAAACATGGAAGCTCCCAGGGCCCCTTTGGAGGGCTTGGTTCTATTTGCAGAGGCCCCCTGGCAGCTTCCATGTTGGTCTGGGGGAGTGTCATGTTGTTGGAACTGGTTTCGGGAGGTGCTTTCATCTTTTCGATTGCCCCTATAGGCTCGGAGATTGTACGGCATGGTGTGGCAAAAACGGTTGTGATCGAGCTGGGCTGTTTTGTTGATTTGTTTCCTTCAGGGTCCACAACGCAAAGAGAAAGATTGGTCCAACACTGCCACGCTTGACGGCCAAACGCAGACATACAGGGGTGATTAAATTGGGTGCGTCTTTGTTTTTGTTACAATAATTATGATAGAACATGTATTGGCTGTAGGATATACCACTTCTGGAGATCCTTGACAGATAGGTGCAACATAAGTTTCAAATCCTCCAAACAAGCCAGGCATTTCTAAAACGAAGATCACAGGAACCCCAAACAAACCGGGTAAGACGGCAAACACAACAGAGGAGAAAAACAAGGTCCACTGGAAGAATACCAAAAACACAGAAGAAGCAAACAGAACAACCAACATAGCAGGGTCCTCCAGAAGCTGGACCCCCGAAACCAGAAGGGCAGCTACTTCCATTCGGTGTTTGTCCCTGTTTGTTCTATTTGTTCTGTTGGCTCTTGTGTTTCTGAGTTTCTGAGTTTATGTTTTTTCCAGTTTCTTTTTTTTTTTTTTAAATGTTGTGTTCTGGTTTTCTGGGTTTCCTGGCTTGGGTGCCTTCTTTTGGAAAACCCTGTTTTTTGTGATGGTTTTGTTGATTAAATCATTTGGAGCGTCCCATTTTCAGGATCCGCCCATTTTGACGGTCCAGCCATGTTGAGGGAGACATGTTCTTGGGGTGCACCATTTTAAGAAAAGCAATAGGTGAGTTTGCTCGGCACAGCTTAAGCCTCAAGAGCCACGCGCACACGCTGGGGGCTGCCGTGTGCGTCTCTTGACACGGGGCATCACATGAGAGGCAGAGGTCCAGAAGAAGGCCACGAATAGCCCAAGGCAGGAGATGCCTCATTTTGGCACTCAAACTTCCTGCCATACACATTTGAGCACGGACAAATCAACACCAGCCAAGCAGGTCAACACGCAACTCAGCGAGCAAGCAAGCCAGCCAGCAAGAAGACAGGCTGACAGACAGGCAACTTGGAGACAGCACGCGCGGAGCCGTGGCGGGGAAATCCATGCCATGGCGCGAATGCTCGTGCCGCTGCATGCTCCACAAGAGTCGCCCTTCAAGCTTCCAGCGAGTGGTTCCGCGGATCTAAGCGCGAAGTGGATGACTAAGTCCCAGACCTGTTGGGCAATTCCTTTTCCTTTAGGAAGGGGTGTCCTTTCAACATGAAAAGCAAACCTTGCTTGCGCATGGCCACTGGAGGTTTTGGGTAGTATTGTTCGCTTGCCCCACACCCCCAACTAAGCCCAAGTTCAAAGCAAGCAAGTTGAGCCACAATCAAAACCCGGGTAGATAAAGGTTAGTAAAGGGCAATCTCCGCCATAAATAGTCGCGGCCGCCTGTGTATTTCATGGCCTGCGGCCTGGTTCCGCCGCCCCCACACATCTTAGAATTTCGGCCAGGGACGAGAGAAAGCACGCGTGCACAGACCCGTTCGTGGACACGAAGACAGACGCAGATACGTAGACAGACACAGGCAGACACAAAGACACGCAGACAGACACGCAGCGGGGGAGAGGGTCTTCGCGGACACGAAGACAGACGCACATGCGTAGACAGACACAGACAGAGCCAGACAGACACAAATAGACACAGACAGACGCGCAGGGGGAACATCATCGGAAGACTAGAAGAAGAAGCCGGAAGATTACGGAAGACTACGGGAAGAAGCCGAAAGACTACGGAAGATTGCGGGAAGAAGCCGGAAGACTACGGAAGACTACGGGATCCACAAATCCAGCAATCCAGAAAGCCAGAAATCCAGAGATCCAGAGATCCAGAAATCCAGCAATTTAGAAATCCAGAAATCCAGCCGACGTAGAAACCAGCCCCAAGGACCGCCCCAAGGGACATGTATATACATAATCATATTCACATTAAACTTACAGAAAGCATATCAACAAAAGCAACACAGAACACACCGCCCCATGCCGAAAGCATGGTCCATTTTGGACCAGGCATTGGGTTAACCAATTTAATACCGGGTTTTGATTGTGACTCATTTGGCGTATTTAATGCACATGTGATTGACCTTCCCTCTTCCAAGGATCCTCCAGAAGTACTAGTAGCTGAAGAATGTTAAGGAGCAACCATAGTAAAGTTACACTTCAGCTTGTCCCGTGGCCTCCACTTGTCAACCAGAGACAGGGATCTGGCAAATAAAGCTTAGTTCACCCCTAGTCCATAAACTTCCCAAGTCACAAGGGTCAACCAGAAGCTGAGGCGATTCATACTGACCAGGAGCAAAGGAGTTCCCCGCTGGAGCGATGGAACCGGCTCATGAACTCAGGGCCTCTTGCAGCTAATCTGGACAAGGAGTAGGTGATTTTCCTTGTGGGTCCAAAAGGGTTATGTATCAAAATGGTGGCTCCCCTTTCGGTTTCCCTTTCAACCAAGAAGGGTACCCTCGAGAAACTAAAAGGATCCATTAATATAGCAGGACTGAACCAACAGGCTTTATGGCTATTTGGTTGAATTTTTGGACTTTAGCTTGAATTTCCGGATTGGACCCACAAGTTAAACTTTTTCCAGAGGGGTCGCTACAGCAACTAAGGCCGTTATCCATTGCTTTCTATGGCTCTGAATAGGGGCTTCCGGTGTTGTCACGCAATCATTTGCACTTTAAAGTAGCCATCAGTCAGATTCTTTCAGATGTCAAATATAGACACCTTGGCACACATTTCCCGTGAGCCACGGTCAACCAAGCGGTTCAGCATTATGTGCAAAACCAGGTAAGTGTATCCCAGCATGGCCGGTGGAAGTGTTAGAGGGCAGCCTTTCTTCTCGACGCCTGGATTTTTGGCTGTGCGGGATTCCGGAGCCTTTTCGTCCCTGTCTTAGTCTGGTCCCTACTCGTTTGTTTCTACCTGCAGCAGTACTTTACGAAACATTTTCGGGCACGGGGTATAAGCATGTGCTAAAGAAACACCAATGAGCTTGTGAACGAATTCATGTCTTCTATAAACTCATGTCGGGCGGAGGGTATAAACATGACATGTTATGTGTAGCTCATCAACCGGGTTCTTCCCAACGAGAGACATCTGTTTCAGCGCGCGCGCCAAGAGCGCCAAGAGTGACTGAGGCTCGGTGACCATCGGTCGCCGGCCGACCAACACACTGGTGTGCAACGACATCTCGGTGACTCTTGGCAGCCCTTGCCCTGGTCAAATGCATTTGCGCATTTCCGGATTCTCTCTATATATACAATATGTATGTACATACGTGTATATACATATATACATGAAGAAATGTGTTTAACATGTTCATGTGTTTGTCTTTGCCTCGTGTAACAGAATAGTTCAATGTTTGTTTAGAACATATGATTCGTTGCACAAGCACCATTAGCTGAGGTGCGGTTTAATTTGGTGAAACAGCAGTGGCCTTTTGGTCGGGCAAAAGTTGCATTTTGGCAAGCCAACCACCCACAAGGACCTCACCCAAGCAAGAAAGCGATTGGAGATCCTGAGCAATCTTGGTTCTTGGTGTCCTAAAAGCCAAACTAGAAACAATGGATTGATGGAATGGCTTTGATTCTAGAATGGCTTTGAATGGCACAATGACTTTGAATGGCTTTGATGGAATGGCACTTTGAGGCTTTGATTCCTCTCAATAGATTGTCCATTGGAGCCCAACAACCTACATCCAGTGCTGCAGGGCACGAGTGAGCATATTTGTTCGTGTGTTTTGGGCTTAGGACACCACGGAGCGCTCAGTTTTAGGCCCAAGAGGAGGGGGATCCGTTTGTATGACATGATGCAGGAAACAAGTTGTATGTCATAGGATTTGTATGGACATGTATGGCGTGTGTCGTATGTGTATGTTTTATGTGCATGTGTATGTGTGAATATTTGGGATAGTTCGAGGGTGATACTGTGTTTGTATATCGAATATACATACATACATACCTACATACATGCATGCATGCATACATACATATATATATGTATGTATGTATACATACATGTATGTATGTATGTATGTAGTGTAATGTAATGTAATGGAATGTAATGTATGTATGTATGTATGTACGTATGTATGTATGTAATGTATGTATGTATGTATGTATGTAATGTAATGTAATGTAATTTAATGCATGTATGTATGTAATGTAATGTAATGTTATGTAATGTAATGTAATGTAATGTATGTATGTATGTATGTGTTTTTGTAATGTATGTATGTATGTATGTATGTATGTATGTATGTATGTATGTATGTATGTATGTATGAAATGTATGTATGTAATGTATGTATGTATGTATGTATGGATGGATGGATGGATGGATGTATGTAGTTATGTAATGTATGTATGTATGTATGTATGTATGTATGTATGCATGCATGCATGTATGTATGCATGTAATGTATGCATGTATGTATGCATGTATGTAATGTAATGTATGTATGTATGTATGTATGTATGTATGTATGTATGTATGTATGTAATGTATGTATGTATGTATGTAATGTATGTATGTATGTATGTATGTAATGTATGTATGTATGTAATGTATGTATGTATGTATGTATGTATGTATGTATGTATGTATGTATGTATGTATGTATGTATGTAATGTAATGTAATGTATGTATGTATGTATGTATGTATGTATGTATGTATGTATGTATGTATGTATGTATGTATGTATGTATGTATGTATGTATGTATGTATGTATGTATGTATGTATGTATGTATGTATGTATGTATGTATGTATGTATGTATGTATGTATGTATGTATGTATGTATGTATGTATGTATGTATGTATGTATGTATGTATGTATGTATGTATGTATGTATGTATGTATGTATGTATGTATGTATGTATGTATGTATGTATGTATGTATGTATGTATGTATGTATGTATGTATGTATGTATGTATGTATGTATGTATGTATGTATGTATGTATGTATGTATGTATGTATGTATGTATGTATGTATGTATGTATGTATGTATGTATGTATGTATGTATGTATGTATGTATGTATGTATGTATGTATGTATGTATGTATGTATGTATGTATGTATGTATGTATGTATGTATGTATGTATGTATGTATGTATGTATGTATGTATGTATGTATGTATGTATGTATGTATGTATGTATGTATGTATGTATGTATGTATGTATGTATGTATGTATGTATGTATGTATGTATGTATGTATGTATGTATGTATGTATGTATGTATGTATGTATGTATGTATGTATGTATGTATGTATGTAATGTATGTATGTATGTATGTATGTATGTATGTATGTATGTATGTATGTATGTA